CCTCATGAAATTCTAACATCACATTTGGGTTATTATGACATTACAGTCCCCTGGTGGTGCAGCAGAAGAGCATTAAGGAGGAGTTACAGGCAGAAATGTAGGAAGGATCAACATGTCCTTTGTTGTGTTTTATTGTGGATGTACAGAAAATTAGTCTCTTATTTTGACAACTCTCAATCAGTTAATATAAACCTCTAGTTTTACTTAATTCAATTTTAATTATTTCATAGGCAGTTTTTTATTGATTTTTCTTTGCCAAGAAATGTAATAAGAACTGAAACCTAACTCGGACACAACAAACTTTCCCATTTTAAATGTCAATGTTGATTGCAAATCCTTCAGAATAAAACTAGGGTTCTAAAACTAATTGAAGGAGCGAGGAGGATGAAGAAAAAGAAGGAGGAGGAGAAGGAGGGGGAGGAGGAGCACTGCTCCCTCACTCTGCAGGAGTCAGAGGTCACAGTATAGACGAGCAGTGTGCTGGATTTAATGCAAGCCCTTTTTCTTTCTTTTTCTCTTTTTTTTTCTCTTCGTGTTTTGTGTTGTTCCTCCACCTCACACACTCGGAGACCTCGTGTGACAAAGCAGGGTCATTGGCAGGATTATTCCTGCTCAACGCCACCGCCCTGCTGGAGCACAGGAAGAAGAAGATGGCGAGTGCGAGACGCTCACTGGGAGCGTGAGAGTTATACAGAAAAAGAGAGAGGTTGCTGTTCAAAGTAATTAACATTTCATTAGCCCAACATTGTGGCTACGTCCACACTGACTATTACAACCAGGGCCCACAGGGGTTTCGTGGTCTTTGAAATAAGAAACTGATGCAGTGGTGTGCTTAAACCACAGGCCACATAACTGAATGCAAGCCACAATTTAGTTTATGCCAAAATCAATTGGGACCAGCTTCATTTTTCTTTTCTTTTTTTGCATTTTTATCTTCACAAACAACAGTCTGTCTGCAGGTTTTTGTTTTAAAGATAACAAATGCTTGTTAAAATCAATTTTTGAATTTCACAAAAGCACAAGCCCCACCCCATTCATATTTTCTACACACATTTATTACAGGCTATGTACTAATACTAAAAAACTTCCAAACTTCCTTGGTCATGTGATGCTTGATGTGGTTAAATCTATAGCAGCTGTATATAGCACTTGTTTGCATTGAACACCTGGGAGACTACATGAATCTGCAGTGATTGTGTTTCCCCTCAGTGTCAGTGGGAGAGTCTGGACGGTGGAGCAGTCTTTGTGTCATCTTTGTTTTTAAATCTACCTCTTTGAAAAAAAGACCTGAAGTAACACTGAAGAAGTTCTTAATTATTCTCTTCTAGACTTATAAAAACACTGAGAGAGAGAAAAGCTCGGGTTCCTGGGCCACCTTTTCTATGTTCTCACTCACTCTCTCTTCATCAGCAGCTTAGATGAATCCTTGTGGGATCTTTTCACACTTGTAAAGGAGCCACTGGTTTCTTAACAAGCTCTGTTTGTTCATCAAGGGGGCTCCAGCGTGATGATCTGCTCTCAGCCGCTGAGATAATACCGAGGGCAAACGCCACAGAGAAAAGAACAAGGCTGACTGTTAATGAGACCGAGAGGTGGTGTATTATCCTGAAGGGTGGTCTGTGGACGGAGAGCAGGGTTCAAGAGGCTCAGGGAGTCACACTGACCAGCAGGGTGGTGTGATGATAGGTTGGTGTGAAGACATGAACTCAGAATGTGGATATAAAATCATCATCTCTTTTGCCATTCTCCATAAATGGGCTTACAGAAACGGCACAACTACCCAGAGGAATCCCAAAACCTTTTTTGACAAAAGGTGGTGCTTTTATTAACGCAGTAATATTCACCACTCTCTAACAGCCATCCATTGGATGTCTTAAACTATGGCTCTGTGATATCAGACTGACAACACACACGTCAACACACACAGTGTGACATTAGAGCTGCTGCTTGAACTCACAACACACTCATACTGCCTCCTTTACAACATGATTGCAATCTGTAAAACAAAGTGAAATCACGTGTTTGTCTATGTATTTCGCACTGATGCTACATCCACAGCAATGTTTTTATTAAACAATCCCTTCAGGCAACTGTGGTTACAGCATAAAGCCCCTGCAAAGGACCAGAATAATTGCCTAGCCTGGAGGTGACTAAAGACAAAGTAGTTTCCTGTCTGTAGAAACACTAAACATGCTTAAAAAATGTGCTTGGAGAAGTAAGGCGATAATAAAAGCTGTCAATCACAGCGTCCACCTAGACATACCATCTTCCACTACATCGCACCTCAATTTTTCTCCGATCAGTACTTACGAATGAATAGACCATAAACACTTTTGTCGACCTCTTTGGAGTACTTTCAAAGTTATATTAACATCAACAGATATCTCCATCCATGTGATGGAACATAAGTATTGAGGATTTCCAACATGGTGAGAAACTTTGTAAGAACACTTTACAGCAAGGGAATCATGGATCCCCAGTCAATCTTTCCATATGGAGTTTGCATGGGTTTTTAATGGGGGGTCCCATTTCCTCCTACAGCCCAAAACAAGGCTCATTGGAAGATGAAATGTATCATATCCTCATTAACCATAGGTACAAATGTGAGGGTGAATGGGTTTGTGACCTACCCTGCCCTCGCCTGTTGAGACCTGGAATTGGCTAAAAAGCTATAAGCTATAAGTATTAAGCTATAAGCTAGAGCTAAAGCTATAAGTAGAAAATTAACTTGTAGAACTTGTTTTTCATGAACTAAAGCTTATCCTGACCATTTACAGATAAAATTAGCTATAAACTTTACTAAAATCAATAAGTAATGTCTGTACATATTTGCTTTCAGGTGTCTAGAGAAGTGATACAGACACTAGAAACACAGTTTAGGTCTTGATTTAACTGGCTAGTTCAAAAATTCAAATAAAAAAGAAAAGACTACATCACAAAGCCATTCTTGTACACTATATTATACTCTAAAAGTTTACTTTTATCTACATCTCCAGGTGAGTTAATGTTAAATGAGAGCTCAAACTGCATTAAAAAAGTTTTTTTTTTTTTTAAACCTGGCAGTGTAGACTCTGTACTTGACAGTCTGGGCTCTGGTCTTGGACTTGCATTGAACTCGACTAAGGTGGTCTGAGTCTGCACTGAGCAGCTGTCTCACACTCTGTCTTTTTCTTTTTCTTTACATCAGGGACAAAGTCAGGAGTGTTTCAACCTCATCCAGCTGTAAGTGTGTGTGTGTCTGTGTGTCTGTCACCTCAGGGCATTTTGTCACTTAAAGGAGGGACATGTGGCTGATCAGTTTTCCCTCCTTCTCCTCCCCCTGCAGAGCTGCAGTGCTTCAAAGGCCGGATGAGCAGATTAGAGGTCAACGCCGGCTCAGGACTAAACTGATTTAGGAAGGTTTTAGTCTTCACTCTGAAATCCATCCTTCTTTGTTTTGGTTTCACCGCCTCGCCACCTTGCATCCCCTTTAATTCGTTTCTCTCTGCTTCACTGAGCGACTGTGTGAGGGCCTCAGCAGAGGACACTGGCCCATCCTCAAGGTATCAGACAACACAGTGTAACATTGCACGTAATTTATGTCCGACTCTCACTTCACTCTGTTCCCCTTTATTCTGTTAAAGTCTGTTTGACAAGAGTCTAGTCTGCTAGTGGGACTCAAATTGACCTTTGAGGTGAAAAAACTGAAAAGGACAAACCTCTGCTGCCCCCTAACGCACACTCACAACATCACAGCTGACATTACACTTCAAATGAGAGGTACAAAACAAATTTGTTTTAATAATACAAAAAAGAATTGCTGTGCGGCTACTCTGAAATAAAAAATGGAGAAATTGAGTACTGTAAAAGTTATACTCTGTAATCATTTGTTTTACAGTATAATAAAGTATCCTAACATAATTTATGGCAAATACTTCCCTAATTAAAGTGGAATGATTTACATAGAGTGAGCTTGAATTCACTTTAATATAGTATAAAAATAATCTATTACTCTATACCAAATGATTTGGACACATTGTGCCAAGTTTCTGGTGTTGCTTTTAACTTTAAATTTTGAGGAAGCGGATGAACCGTGACCTGTAGGCCTCTACTGCCTCCTGCTGTTCACGAACGTTCATCATACATTTTCTTGCAGATGGGATTTTGTATTTATGAGACTTGAAGTATAAATGCCGTTCATAAATTCTCCCGGAAAAATCAAAGATATTTTGAAGTGGCTAATAAGATGTCAATTTTCCATGAGCTCACTTTAATGATAGCCTATGTATATTTTTTATTGAACAATATAATGTAATACTTCATTCATAATCAGACTTGTTCTAGTTTCAACAAAACAAAATGGATACCTCTGAGAAAGAAAAAATACTCAAGCTATAAACCAATTTAGACCTTCACACAAAATAATTCAAATTAAATAATGCAAACCACAGTTTTTACTTTCAACTGATATAATGGATAGTCTTCTTGTTTATGAAGAAAGCCATTGTTAAAATCCTTGTTAGGTAGAAATTCATAGTGGTTAGGGTTTTTAACTAGTGAGTTACTTTAAACTTTTTTCACCCTGTTCCACCATCACTGAATCCCGGTTAGACTCCGGTCAGATCCTTATGTACAACTAGAGGGAGCTCAAATACCATCAGTAGTACATATACCCTAGCTTGAGAACCACAGCTCTGGATTATTTGTTTTATAGCCACATAAATAAAGCAACTCTCAACCATAACCACTATAAGAAAGCATATACAATGGCTGCAAAATCAGTAGAGAAACATTGAAAACTGCAGCTTTTACCAACACTAAATATAATGGGCAGCCAGGGTGGAAAAATGTGTAAGAGCTTTTACAGAGCTTTTGGTAGCTGAAATTGCAGCTCACAATAGAAATCTTTGAACAAATACATTTGACATCATTTTATGTATATTTAAGGCACATTAAGAAAGTGAAGTGAGTGAATAATTAAAATAAACAAATTACACAATTATTTGAAAAGTTTTACTCACGGTGTAATGAACACAGTCAGTGTGGTTATGGTCTTCGGGTCCCACAATTTCATATGCAGGCGGTGTTATTCTTGTGACTTTGTAGAGGGGCTGGGGAAAAAAAACAACTTTAGAAACTAGTTTATTTGACAAGTTTAGAATAGAAGGTGCTTCAAAACCAACTCGGGGGGTCTTTCAGAGAGCTTTTGCCCTAGTGTCTCCATGCAGCGTGACGCGGCCCTGCCGTTTTATTGCTTTGCTGTGTTTCTTCTGTTCTGGGGCGGAGTGAGACCTCATGTTCCCGGTGCTCTGACAGACAGCTGGCTGCTGACTGTGTGTGTGACTGTGTTTTTAACGGAAGACATTTTGAGCCGCTGCCGTGTACTCGCTGCTATCGCCGGCCCGACGCTACAGATACTTCACGCACAAAAATACTTTGCAGTTACAAGTAAAAACTGTATCGTTTGAACAACACCCCCTGTGTGTTTGTTCGTTTCTGGCCCAGCTACTTAGCTTAGCGCATCAGAAGCTAAAGCTATTCTAGATGCTAGTAAGTTAGCATCAGCCTGCTAGCTGACCCTCCTCCTCCTTCTTCACCTCCTCTTCCTCGACTCACAGCGGCTCCTTCAACAAACACAATGGCGCTAAAACGAATTTCGAAGGTGAGCAAAATTAGTTTGAAAGTCCTTACATTTTTTTATCACCGCCTGTTGTTTGGTGCCCGTGTGGTATTAGCACGTTAGCAGTTAGCGTAAACTGCTGCTGCCTTCACAGCTGCTGCCGATGACAAGAGAACAACAGACACCGAATTAAATTCTCCTGTCACGATTGGTATTAAGAACACAATCGTTGTATACATAATAAAGTAAAGAGATTTAGATATTATGGATTTCTGGTAAACAGTCAAATGTTCCACTAGCTTTGTACCTGTTTAAAATGTCAGAATGTTACCAAAACATGTTACTGACATAAAAACAATTAGAGCATTAGCCTCAAGAAGTGCGACTCGATGAAATGTTGCCATTTTATAATCATTTTTATTTGTGTAATTACAGTTTTGATTAGTTGTCATTTGATCAGTTAAATGCAGAAAACTACGTTTCCAAATTCTAGAATTATGACATCGTCAAATGTCTTTTGTTTGTCTACAAACAAGAGAAAACCAGAATACATTCACATATGGAAAGCTGAATATTTTTCAAATATTAAAATGTATGTCAGTTACATACATTCATTTTTAAAAATGGCAAAGCTATAGTTTAGATTAATAATTTCAGCCAAACCATAAGGTCCTGTTCTGACATGAATAATAATAATTAATTACAACAATGTTCTCTAATGATAATTGTTTACGTCATTAACAATGCAAATGCACTACTATTATTATGAGTGATGTTAATTGCTTTATATGCAGCTCTGCACCAGTGTCAAATTCTATGATTATTTAACCACCCAGCTAAAGAACATCTCATTTTAATGGTAAAAATGTATTTTAAATGAACAATCCATCTTCTAGTAGGCTATTTGCAACTTTATAATAATAAAACGTATTACTTGCATTTCACCGACCAAGTGAATTATATTAAATAACCATCAATTCCAGTTCTGTGTCTTATAATACATGATACAATTCCTACAGGATTAACTGCTGTTAAATAAGGTTAGATTTTGTTTAGTGCTACTGTTTGAGTCTTGAACTTTCAGATCTGTCTCATTCTCACCTTTTACACTCTCATCTGGCCTGAAAGACGATCTGTGTCACATACCAGGGCATACGTCAATTTTGGCTTCAGGGAGACCTGTGGGATGGAAATACAAGCCTCCTCCCATAAGCAGCAGCGTGGTCATATCCTGAACTGTCCACTGACTCCCAGTAAAAATAGTCTTACTGCTGCTTACACATCAGTCTTGAGACTTTAGTCGCATTTGTGCTGTGTTCATTGACAGAGGGGAAACTTCAGGTTCAGGAGTTGTTTGTAGTCAAATTATTCCAGAGTTGTACTTCAGCAATGGTTTTGCTCCTGCTTTGAGTTTATTAATGTAAGAGCTGCATATTATAGTATGTCTTTTAAACAAAATGCATAGTAAAATATATTCCAGAGTTCTAATTCAACAAAGACCAGATGAAACAGATAAGTAGAAGTTACACATTATAGAAAGCTATCAATGTTAAATGCCTTGCTTTCATTTAGCATCAGAGTTAGCCACACAGCCTTTGGTCTTCACCGGTCCTAAACCTTATTAAAATGAGAAGGGTTACACCAAGAACGGCATCTAATGTAAAAACAGTGCCAAACATCACTGTGCAGATCACCCACTGTGGAGGCTGCTGAAGAATAGAGCAGCTGAAAGTCATTCATCTTATTATTATTTTGCAGCGTCAGCTGTTTGGTGCATCGTACTGTTGTGAATTGACTTAATAAACTGGTGAAGTCATGAGTCACTGCCGGCAAAGTAACAAAAGAGAAAAAATTGGATGCTGTTTTAAATCTAGAAGAATGGATTATAAGACGTGCAAATTAACCATTAACCTGGTTTACTTGCAGGAGCTCACTGATCTGTCCAGAGATCCTCCCACTCAGTGCTCAGCTGGACCAGTCGGTGACGACAGTGAGTCTTTTTATTCTTCCAGTTTTTTTTTTCCCCCACACAGGTGTTCGACCAGTACATTTTCTTTTTGTCCTTTGGCTTCATTAACATTTTGTTTCCCTCTGCAGTGTTTCATTGGCAAGCTACTATAATGGGGCCTGTAAGTATCAGCGCTCTGCAGTGTTGTTGCTTATTTACTAACGGAGTCATATGACAGTAAAGACTTTACTTAATCCATGCAAGTTTTGTTTGTAACTGCAGTTAATTAAGACACACAATATTGATGAGCCTATTTAAATGTAGCCCCTGATTAATTAGACATTGTTTTTCTGCTTCAGTCTGACAGTCCGTACCAAGGCGGCGTATTTTTCCTCACTATTCATTTTCCTACAGATTATCCCTTCAAACCTCCTAAGGTCAGTGAATGCCACGTCACTGTGTTGTTGAGTTGTAACATGTTAAAAGTGGACAAACAGCATGCATGACCTACTTTGAAAGCTGCAGGGCTGTGTTTCTAGCAGCAACAAACACAAAAATAATGACTGATGTAATGAGACTTTGAGGTAACACACTGTGTTTTTGTTTTCCAACAGGTTGCCTTTACAACCAGAATTTATCATCCAAATATCAACAGTAATGGCAGCATCTGTCTGGATATTTTGAGATCACAGTGGTCCCCAGCGTTAACCATCTCTAAAGGTGAGAAACAAGCTGAACACATTGGTGCTCTACTAAATCCAGTCAACACACTTTGCTTTGCAGATGACGATACATTTTACATTCAAGCTGAACAGCTGTTTTTAGACCATGTTTCAGAGTTCTACATAATTTCTGCCACTTTTCAAAGTCTCCTCTGTTTTTCTCTCTTCAGTCCTTTTGTCCATTTGTTCTCTGTTATGTGACCCGAACCCTGACGACCCGTTAGTACCAGAGATCGCCCGTATCTATAAGACAGATCCTGGCAAGTGAGTTCAGACCACTACATCAAACACACACCCACACACACAATCATATTGGGCCCCTCAGAATCTGCAGCACCAAGTTATTGGTGTCACACCATTTCTATCCCAAGGTAGCAGCCAGAAAGAAAACAGAAAGAAAGTAAGAAAATATCTGAATTGTTTAACTCAGGTCTGCTCCTCATTGACCTTAGGTATAACAAACTAGCCAGGGAGTGGACAGAGAAGTACGCCATGTTGTGAGGGTAAGACAAGGAAAGTGAAGCTCAGCTGAGTCGATGGTTGCTGCTCAACACCGCCGCTCTTTGAAAGCATGGCTGCGTAAACGTACAAACACACACGGCTGTTCTTTTAACTGCATGAAAAAACACTGCAGTTGTGATTGTCACGCTTTGGGGATCTGAGTGCGTGACTCTGAACACATTAGTCACCACAACTGACTGGTTTGTTGACACTAATAAATAGTTTTAGGGTAAAATTTCAGTTTCTCTAAAATGTGGATGTTTGCGAGTCAGTGTGGACTGCAGTGGGAGCGGCCCTTGCAGTTAGAAATGTTTTCCAGTTACTGACAGACTCAATGTCAGTGGACAGTAACTAAAAAAAGAGAAAAAAAGCCAATTTAACTGTATTTTACATCTTGTGTATGACAGTTAAAGAATATCAGATATAAAAATAACAAAGATGCGCAGAGAGCAGTGCGCTCTTGTGATACCTTTGGCAGTGTGATTCAATGCCAGCTAAGGGTTTCAAACACCAGCAGAATATTGGAAAGTTTTGCCTGATATATTATTGTAAGTATGGTTTGTTTGTTGGTGCATTTAGAAAAAAAAATGACGTTGTAGTATAGCTGGTTCAGCAACTCCTAGAGTACAGTGATGTTAGTGAACAGACAGCACAAACAGGTAACCATTGATGAACACAAACTGACAGGTTTTTTTCAAAGGTTAACTACTAAATGTTTTTCCTCACCATATCAATTCTAAAGGATAGAGATTTTTTTTTGTGCCACAATACACCAACTGTGAGTGTGTGCAGCATGGCATCAACCCGCCTGACCTTCAACAACCTGACATTCTGCTGATTTCTCTTTTCTCGCCCACAGGTACAACAAGACAGCTCAGGAATGGACCCGTAAATACGCCATGTGACCCCGCCCTCTTCCACCTTTTCTTCACTTACTGCTGGAATAAACTGTTTTGAGTTTTCTCATTTGACCACATCCCCTCCCCTTCATGCCCCTGCAGACGATAACATTTATTTGTTTACTTTCTTTTGCCCCCATCTCCTATTCCCACCCTTATTATTTTTAATTTGAAATGTTTTTTGTTTCGTGGCGGCGAGGTGTGAAGGTGCCAACGCTCAAAGCCGAATAAAGACGAACTGTTACATAAACACAGCGCTGCAGGAAGAGATCAATATATTAGTCAATAATTTAATGCATGTCAGTGGTCGGGTTTGTGTGCTGCTCACAATAAAGACAGGTGGCGTTTTTGTTTTGTTTGTAGAAAAGTGAGGCGTTAGTTTGTCGATCAGCATCGACGCTGTTCTCTGCACTGACGATGGAACTGAATACCGATCGTTGATTGACTCATCGCTCTTTTTTTTTTTAATCCAAAAAAAATTGGAAAAAGTTGCTCATTGTATTTTTTTCATTCATTAAAAACATCTAAATAAATGTCATTAAACAGTTGCTGTGATGTCATTATTGTATAAGTAAGTCTTAGTCCTCATTTGAAATCAAAGGTGTGGGATGCATGTATAATTTATTAAAAAAGATTTTATTTAAAAATAACCAATGAAAGCTCATGTTAAACTGTACAGTGGCATAAATATGTGTTCAAACTGTTTCTTCCCACAATGCCTTTGGTTATGTTATTCTTCGGTGTGAAGGTTTCTGTTCAAACATCTGATAAAACATTTTTGAAGCGTTTGTTTCAGTGATGAGACAAAACAGTAAGATATTACTGTCAAACTGAAGGAGCTAAATATAAGAATATGTCCCCCATGTATTTTGTCTGAAAAAGTCCAAACAGAGTTTTTCAAGGTCATTGGGAAAAAAACTCAATTGTTTTTTTTGACAATCATCCACAGCACCAATGTCTTTGGAACAGGATGTCCCCACAGCAGAGAATAGGAAGTTGTTGACCAGATGCCCTCAGACTGAATACAAACATACCAATGAGGGAAGGACTGTCCGAGTGGACAACAGTGGACGAAATATCTTTAATTATTGACCCTATGTCCAAAATGTGGACTAGCTGTTCTCTGACTGGACAAGATGTCCTTAAATATGTGACGTATGCAAAAAGGACAGAATGAGAAAGTGGATGAGATGTCTTCAAGAGTGCGTTGAGTAGACTGTCCTTAGCGTGGATGGAAAATCCATGGTACTAAACTCTCAGGTAAGTTTTGCTGAAACATTTCTTAGCTCCGGCAGAGGTCAGCACTGAAAACCCTTTTTCAGTTTGAGATTAAAAATGGTTAAAAACCTTCAGTGATTGGATGATGAGAACCAACCAGACAGTTAGGCTGTAGAAAGCTCAACCCCGCTATCACAGACACCACTATCGATGCGAACGTCCGCCTTAATGTCCTGAAACTGGAGGAGCCGATAATCTTTATCTGCAAAGAGATTGAAACCCAGCTGTCATGGTGGTGCAGTTACAGACTTAGTTTTCCTGAGGATGATGTCATCCGCTTACCTGGTGTTTTGGATTCCTCTACAGTGGAGCCTTGCAACGTCTCCTCTAGAATGCTTAGAGCTCTGCACTTCCCAGCTAACCTCAGTGCAGCTAGTAGATCACTGACTGTCCCTCCTGAGACCTGCAGGACGATGACAAAGACAGGACAGTGTCAGGTTTGTGTTTGTTTGTGTCTGTGTTTGAAAGTGTGTGTCTGCACATGTGACCTCGTAGCTGTCCAGCAGGGTTTTGGAAGGGGACGGACTTAATTTGAAAGCTGTGTTGAGGATCCCAAGACCCAGACTGTGAGCCAACTTTTCCCAGCATCCTTCACTCTCCAAAGCATGGCACACCTTCTCCTTAACCTTTGCATCGAGGCTTGACAAATCACCTAAACACACACAACCACAAACAAACACAGTTGGCCTCCAATGTGGTGAGTACAGGGCCAAAGGTGATGGTAGACGATGCTCGTACCTTTTGGGAGATCTATGACACTTGAGCATGTGTGTGGTTCGTACTCTTTTCCGTTAAGAAGTTCCAGTACCTAAAAGAACACACATTTACCTCAAATTTCTGACAAAGAGACCTGAAAATAATATTTATGTGGAAAATGTTTGAAAAAAACATTAAGGACAAAAATGAGGCATGCGGCCTACCTGTGTGGTGGCTGCCATGTTGAGTGGAGTAGTTCCTGGGACATAGCCTTCATCTTCCTCCTCCTCATCAAAGAGCTCGGACTCCTCTTTGAAGAACAAGGGCTCACAGTTTTCCTTATGTGGGTCGGCACCTGACAATCACACTAGCTTTAGATACAGTTCTAATGTCCAAATCTATCCATGCTACTTTAACACTCAAATATCCATGTTGCTCATGCACATGTTACTTTGTGCAACACTGGCTCCGTCTGGCATATTTACCAGTGTTAACATGCAGCTCCAACAAAAGTTTGCTCACATTCATTATCTCACTGACTGACTAAGTGAGCATGTAAGGCTAATAATGCATTGCTAACATAAATAAACCTTGATCCTGATTCACCAGTTTTGCTAAACCTTTTTTTAACTCTGGTAAAGTTTATTCACCACTGGTAGTGACAGACAGTAGTATAGCAAGGGTGTGTATTGGCAAGAATCTGGTGATATGATACACATTACAATACAGGGGCAATGATACAATATACTGCAATACTATAGGCTTAGCAAAATAATGTTAAAGTAATTTAAACAATTGTAGGAAAACTGTCAGCGCAGTAAACACACAACGCTGTTACATGCTTAACCTCAGGTTACTAAAACAGTAATAGAGGACATTTATTTGTAATCGCTTGAGAAGAAATAAAAGCGAAATAAAATGAACCAACGGCATGAACATTTGCATGTTAATTGTTAATAAAAATCGATACAGTGTAGTAGAATATCAATACGGTGTCATAAAAAAAATAATGCGATATTTCAGTGTAAGGATACTTTCTTACACCCCTGCATTTGTCTGTGTAAACACGTGATCTGTCAGTTTACCATTCACGTTGTCTCCTACCTGCTGCCATGAGAAGGGCGGTAAGTTTAGCAGAACCTCGCCCTGCAGCGATGTGAAGGGGTGTGGAGCCATTAAAAGTGCAACAGTCCACATCAGCATTTCCCTGTGAACAGCAAAAAAAAAAAAAAGAGAAAAAAAAAAGGTCACTGATTATTGTCAGTTAAAAATACTGCCATAAACCACCTGTAGTCTTTGCTCTGATACCTCTAGCAGCAGACACCCTGCCAGCGACACATTGTCGGTCTCTGTGGCGAGGTGGAGCGCAGTCCGACCACAGCTGCGCTCCTGAGCCTCCACGTCAGCTCCACTCTCTAGCAGCTCCCGCAGAGAATTCAACTGATTGGCCATGACAGCCAGGTGGATAGCACACATGCCTGGATACCACGGGCACAAGTTAAGGTTCCCCGAGTCTGTTGTTATGCTGCTGCTACATTTTGTTAACATGGCTGTTGCATACTTGTCATGTAATAATTGTAATCTGTAAAAGGTTGTTGTGTACCTGCAGTGTTGTTCTGCTCCATCACTCTCCTCACATCTTGGTGTTGGAGTAAGAACATGACCATCCCCCCTGCCTCCTGCTGTGATGCCAGGTGGAGCACTGTGTTGCCGTTGCGATCTGTCAGGGTTGGGTCAGCCCCCGCCATCAACAGCGCCTCTACTGCTTCCTTTTGCTGTGTGATTACCGCCAGGTGTAAAGGAGTCTGGGACAATGGAGGGCAGGGTCAGAGACACTGTTAACAGGCTTTGTCTCCAGAGACAGGACAGACTGGATGAGGATCATGTTGCTGCCTCTGCTGCACTGACCTGGTACAGGTGGTTTCTCATATTGAGAACTTCCTCTCCAGGCAAAGCCAAGACTACCTGAGTCAGACTCTGCAGCGCCTCCTGCTGGCTGTGGATGATGGCCAGGTGAAGCCCGCTACATCCAAAACCAACAGGACAAAAGGTTACACAATGGGGTTTAGAGTTGTGTATGTGTTTTTGTGTGTTTGTGTAGTACTGACGTGTCTCCGTCCTCATCTTGTGCTTTCATTAGGGGGCGCTGTGGAGTCAGCAGGTATGCTGGGTCACCTGTCACAGAGTACTGAAACAGAGCGACCAACTGTTTGCTGGTCATCTCATCCAACTCTTCATCTGCAGGAAATGGACACATGTACATGGTGTACTATTGAACATGGTGTACTACAGCATGTATACTAGCATTGTAAAACTATACAAGTATAGTAGTTTCTAATACACTGTTCAATATGACTATTACAAACTTCTACTTTGATGTAATATTACCTGCATCTGGTTCCAAATCTGTTTTGACTCCAACCTCCTTCATCCTCTCCTCCACCGTCTGACCTGAGGCTCCTAGCACAGCACCAGCCCCAGAGTCATCGTCTTCATCGTCATTGTCATCGTCTGAATCATCACGCTGACAGACTGGAACACAGTTTTTATTCTTTAGTTTGAGAGATTTTTTACAAATATGTTAGAGGAGAAAAGATCTGTGATTATTTATTAATATTCCTCATATGTAGTGTACGTCCCCACCGTGTTTCATGCCTCCCGCTCCTCCTCCCAGACCTGCTGAGTATCCCGTGGAGAAGCCACCACCTCCTCCTCCCCCGCCACCATAATTATATGTAGTAAAACCCTGGAAGTAACCTGGAGGAGAGAAGGAAACAAAAGCTGATGCCTCTGGTGACGCTCCTACTCTTCACCATGTCTGAAAGTGATAGTCAAATAAATATTACCTCCTACTGAAGAACCTGGTCCTCCTCCTCCTCCTGATGTTGGTCCTCCTCCGCCTCCTCTGTAAAGACCTCCTCCTGCACCATGACCACTAAAGTCATGGAAATTTGGCAGCGTCTTCTGCCTTTTCCTCTGAACCTCCTCCTTGTCTGATCACACAGGTTCATAGGGTAAACATATCATCCTGGTCTTTTTATAGTAATCAATTCAAACCAAAAAGCAAATGCGAAGATAAAACTGCCACATGCATTTGTTTCTAACGTAAAGTCACCCAGCCCGACATGAAACACATTTAGTCCTGACAGCTCTGACCTCAACTAACTTAGTAGAGCAAAAGTTTATTCATTTGCTAATGTAAAAAAAGAATACAAACATGGCATCATTTTGGAACTGTACATGTGGGTGGAGCTACCTGACTCACCTATGATCTGGGGGTGATAAGTGAAGGGTTTGGGTTCGCTGGTTTCATTATCTGACTTTCTCTTCAGTTGGACAAACACTGGTGTCGGTCTCAGAAGATTCTGGTCACGATACTTTGGAGTTTTGAAGACAATGGCAAACTAATAAAAAAATAAAATGAATCACTTTATAAATATTTTGTACATGTATTTATATATATACAAATACACACATCGAATATTTAAAGTACAGATATTTATTACATTACTTTTAACTTACTTTCTTTTAACTATAACTTAAGTCAGTCCCAACTATGGCAAAAGAACTGACCTGTCTATGAACATCTGTGGGTGAGAAATCACCAAGAGCCTCCCAGATCATCCCTGACTCATCTTCTTCATAAAATCGTACCTGGATATCATCTGAAAGAGACAGATGGACAATGGATTAAGTTAAGGCCTAAACAATACTTCAACACAGAAAGGAATAATAATAATATACATCATATGGAGTGTATACAGACAATCCAGCAGGTGGAGCCGTGGCGGGATGTCTAATATAACAGACAGTTACTGTGTCTAATGTGGGTGTAGACTGATGCAACTCAACTCACCTTTCTGTACTTTGTCACAGAGCAGATAAACTTCCTCTCCCCCTGTCACACAGCCTGCAGTTCGATCCATCCTCACAATCTTCAGGTTTGAAGCATTTGGAGCCTCTAAGGACGACAGAACAAAAGGGCAAAGGTCATCTGTACTGTAAGACAAGTACTATACTGAGATCATGCAACAATGCAGTGAGTGACAGTCTCAATTGGGACTCACTGCTGTCAAAGATGGGTTCTGACACGACCGGTTCCAGTCGTCTGGAGTAACCGCCATCACTGTCGAGAAGAAAGGCTGTGAACATGAGGCGGACCACACTGAGGTCCATCTCTTTGGCCTGAACGACAGCTGCGGTGCTGATGATGCTACGATGGTGGTCTGGAGACGCAGAGGGACAAAAACATAAGACAGCTTTCATGCCCCTGAAAAAGACCAAAAACTATAAAAACATGTTTGTCTTTACGCTCTGCTCAGGACTAACCATGGAGGTCTCGGGGAACTCGGACCTCCCCCTGCAGAGCGTCGATTTCAGGGTGAATGGCGACCCCAGAGTTGTATCCCATCCTAAATGCCTCTATCATTCTCTCCTCCAGAGTCTTGGCCACATTCTTTTTTGTTACATGTTCAATACCCAGGTTTGGAAAGCTGGCAAAAAAACCCAACCAAACAAAAAAACAAACATACTTGACAGTATTAAATATGTGTTGTTTATGTTTTGTCTGGTTTTTTATGCATGCATGTACATATACCTGACAGTGGAGTCTTTAGGCTGCATGTCAGCGACGCAGATCCCTTTGTCACACTGTTTCCCCACCAGACTGTGGGCGTGAAGCTGAGGGTGGGGAGTCAGTGCCGTCACAAGCTGGACTACCACCCGGGCCGGACCCTGGTAGTTACAGATCTGGAAAACACATACAGAAGGTGAGTATTTTCATTTGTGTACTCGCTAATACCGAGGACTGTCACAGATAGTCAGGGTTATAGAGGTGGCACAGTTCTGTATTCCCTGTAGCATGTGTGAGAGCGAGAGGTAGAGAAAGAGCCTAACCCACAGTGAGGACAGAGCAGTGTCACTGTATAGCATCAATTCAATGTTACAAAAAAAACACTGAACGTTTGCAACAAAATCTCAATAAAACGGTGATTGTACAGTGATGATTGTAGAAAAAGGAGAGACGGGGCTTAAGTGAAAACTAAGCATCCCTAACAGACTAACACTATAAAAACAGCAAAGTCAACAATAGAGACAGAAAGTCATGGTTACCCCACAGCACAGACGAGCTGCCTCAATGTTAGGTTATGTTGTGTTAAACTGCAGTTTTCAGACAGCACCACAAACAAATGATTCTGTTTGTGAAAGAGCGTAAGAGAAAGTAAGTAAAAAGATTTCCATTTTAACAGCTGGTTACGTAGCTACAAATCTGTTGCCTCGAGTTTTCTTTGGCTGAAAGTGAATTGTTGTCTGTGCAGTGCCAGTACTGATGTAATTATTAATCCTACTTTGTAAACAATGTCACAACCAACCATAAATTTTCAGTCATCAGTCACATGCGTTAGATGGAGGAAAAACTTTGTTCTTGTTTCTACTGTCTCTCTCTCTCTCTCGCCCCGTGGTTCTGCTTGCAGCAACGCTGCAACTGCAGTAGCAGTAGAAGTGCGAGCACACTTCCTCTTCCTAGTTCTGTGGGCTAATAGTGACAGAAAAGCAGAGTTCCTGGAAACACGCTGAGCCCCAGGCTTGGTTTCCTGACTGAAACAAATTCACAACAGTCATCAGTCACATGCGTTAGATGGAGGAAAAACTTTGTTCTTGTTTCTACTGTCTCTCTCTCTCTCTCGCCCCGTGGTTCTGCTTGCAGCAACGCTGCAACTGCAGTAGCAGTAGAAGTGCGAGCACACTTCCTCTTCCTAGTTCTGTGGGCTAATAGTGACAGAAAAGCAGAGTTCCTGGAAACACGCTGAGCCCCAGGCTTGGTTTCCTGACTGAAACAAATTCACAACCCTAACCTGAAGCTGTTTTTTTTTTTCTCCAGGCCTGTTGACGATTCCGAGTTAATCTCCGGTGTCAGGTGATGTGTGTGTGTTTATATTGACAGTTTGAAAAAACCTTTGAAAAATGACTCTAATCAAGTTGGGTTCTCTGTACTTAAAATATAGAAAATAATAATATGTTGGTATAAAAAAAAAGTTAATGCAAAGGTCCACAGAGGAGGCAGAACCCAAGCCATCTGTTTCCAAAATAATGAAGGAAAGTTGCACCAGTCCAGCGCACAGGTTTAGAACAAAAGGTAATTCTCACTTGCCAGCAAAATGTTAAGCTGTGCTTCTTTTGTAAAGCCATTCCTTTCATGAGGATGCCGATAAGGTCAAATCAAATCTATATGTTCACAGAGATTTCTTTCTTTACAGATTAAAGTGAAGTCGGGCTGGTGACAACCAATCAGGAAGTGGATATTAAAGAAAACCGGGTCATCTTTTTTATTCGTTCTCATCTCTTTCTGTCTCCACTGAAATGCTTCGGGGGTTATAATCAGAAATGGAGTCAACAGCATTAACACACCTTTGGTTCAGGCTGTGGCAACGTGTTCTGTCATACAGAGCTGTGAGGACGTAGCATCACACCCGTCACTGTTGTCAAAGTTTGCTTCCGCATGTTCTGACCAAACCAGACGTGTTGGGAAATTCCCAAATTCCTACTGCGGAGCAACATTTTCCCGCAAATAAAAAAAAAAAGTTTTGCAGTACGATGAAGGTTTCAGATGCGCCCCACAACACTAGACAAATTTCCTAATGCTTGTTACCGTAACCTTTGTTTCATGATCCAAGAAAAGAAAAAAAACGTCAACTAAATCTAGAATTTCCCACCAAAGATAAGAAGTTAAGATAAGATAAAAAGTACATTTTAGGTACTTGATTCTTTTTTATACATGATGAACCTGCACATGCACGTTTTTATTGTTGTCAGATGTAAAATCAGGAAATAAAAGGGATGAGCGAGGAGGAAAAAAAAAAAAAATCACATTCAGGTCTTTGTGTGAATGTTGAGCCTGCAGAGTGGGAAACCCCCTTCACATCTGGTAGGAGCGGTGGGAAGACAAGAATCAGTGTGACTCAATAATTGAGAATATTATTTAAAACAATTCTGTAGTTCAAAAAAAAAAATTAATTATTTGTAAAAAAAAACAACAACAAAATAGTTACATAAAATAAATGACTTGTTAGCTACTAATCTTTTATCTTATCACTGTCATATATTGTGTGAGTGAAAAAGTCTTCCACTGAAACTGTAGTTGCAGAAGCTTTTTGTCTGTCTTTGTCTGTCATTGTTAGCTTTATGACAAAATAAATGGTTTTTGATATAAGGAAAGTGAACTACTTGTCATTGTGACACAGCATACCACTGTACACAACAAAATGCGACTTCTGCTTTTAACCCATCACCAAAGTGAACAGTGGGCAGCTTTATGCACCCAGGAGCAGTGTGTGGGGACAGTGCCATGCTCACCAACTTCACAGCTGGTGGACTCAAACCTGAAGCCTTCCGGACCCAAGTCCGGTTCCTTAACCACTAAGCCACCACTGCCCCACTGTACATCCACATTTGGGAAATGCAGATATGCTGTTAACAGGCTGCCCCTAGCAAGCACCAAGCATGTGGTTCCTCTGGGAATCAAACCCAGGATTCTCTGCTCTCTGCTTCCGAGGCCTGCATGCTAACCGCTACACAATGGAACCAACTATGACAAAGTGATTCAAACACATCATATATGTCAGAAGGTTCTGGTATCTTTGTACCTCTTGGAAATCTTATGAGCCTGTCTTGATGTAATTGGTGAATCACTTTTTTATTGTCTGCCTGTTGGTAAACAGAATAACTGTTTGACCGGTTTTTAAGGAGGATTCGATCAAGTTCATTGATGAGAACATTTTATTTTGTTTTTGGGGTTTTTTTTTCCTCTGATTTTGTAGGCGTAAATACTTCCAATGAAGTGAAATAAAAAAAAAAAATAATATCAATATTCAATCCTCCTCCACAGAGATCTGAGCAATGACTGTTTGATGTCCCACATCACAGAGTTTCTACAGAAGCATTAAAGAGTTGGCAGGTTCCGACTCGTCGACGCACATTAACACATACACACGCCTCCGCTGTGTTTCATGTCTTTTGGGAATTTTTCTCCCAACACCCACATGTGATCAGAGGATGTGTTGTTGCATCACAACAGGAAGGAACTGGGTTTTAGGACAAGACACGATTACAGCGAAAGAGAAGGCAGAATCAAACAGCAGAGACACCCACTCTGCAGAAACAAACCCAGAGAAGCAAAACATGAAAAAATCTGCAACTGTTCGAAGCTCAGAGGCAACGTGTGATAGCTGATGTTGTACTTCTTCTTTCTGTGTATACATTTTTTACTCTGAGGAATGATACTGCGTGGCTAAGTAAAATAAACGTATGTTTGTTGGTTTGTTATCAGTCAGCAGGTAAGTGTAACAATCCTCCTAGTGCTTCACGTGACAATGGGACAGTAAAGTCTTCATATGTTGCAGGGAAAACATTAGTAGTGCCACATACAGTACCTCTCACTCATTGACCCAAAGCGACACATATTACATAAATAACATCAAGATGTCGTGTGTATATTGTGTGTTAACGAGGAAAAAATCCTTACTTAAATTCCAACTTTCAAAGTAAAATAAAAACAAAATAAAACAGAGATATTTTGTCACTCTGAGAAGTTTGTATGATAAGGCAGTAAATGCAGATAATCCAAAAGAAACCCTGATGTGACAGGGTTAGAAACAGACAAAATATCTATACATGATTTTTACATGAGTGTATTTAGAGACATTAGCTCCATTAAGAACAGATGGAGTGAAAATGTCAGACAGGGAAACAGGGAAAGCCGCTACCTTGACGCTGGGGTACGTCTTCCTATTCTTCTCACTGGAAGCCCCAGGAAGTCCGCCATGAGATGGACCTTCACAACCATATCTGAACCTGAAACCCCGCTGAGAGGGACAGAGACAGAGAGAAAATTTGTTTTTTGGGAAGAATCTAAAATAAAATGATATTATTTAATATGATTGGATTATGGGAGGGATGCAGGTTTGAATCCTGCTCTGGCTTCTACCCAGGGTTTTCACAAAATGTTTTTGTGTTTGGATGCATCTGTAAAGTTTAGCTACAAGAAGGATTACTTTAATGTAAAAACAATCTCAATTACAGTGAGCTATTCTATATCCATCTTTTTGTATTGAATAAATTAAGCAGTTAGAATAAAAGCTAATGCTTAATATGATCATAAGAGTTTAACGACAACTATTTCCTGTTAGCTTTAGCTTCCTATACAAAATAACAAAAAACAAAAAGCTGTCAAATCCCAGTTGAATCTCACCTGCTTTGGCTGCTCCAGGATCTGTAGAAATGGCCCATCTCCTGGAAACACACAAACACAAAGAGTAGCAGTAGAGTTAAAATCATCCTGACAGAGCATGGAGCTGCTAACATGTACCTGGTTCACGCTGGATATTATCATTCAAGTGTTTTTTAATACCACTGAAAAATACAGATGTAGGTGTAGTACCACCACTGGCCAGTAGGCTAAAGAAAAACTGGTGTCATGATTGCCCACAAAACAATCTGTAGTTTATTCAACAGAATAACTAAAGAAATGTTGAAATAAGATTGAGTCAACTTGGATAAAGATTGTGGAGCTCAGGAAGTTGGTCTTACAGCCTGGACTGCAGTCCTATCTGGACCCAAAACTGTAAATGATGAAATGTGGAGGTTTGTTATAATTTGTTGAACGATTTTATTTTATCATGCAGAGATTCTTGGTTTTCAAAAGGAAGTGTCCTTTAACTGCCAATAACATCCCTGCATACTGACACGAAGACAAACTTGACTCTCTTTGAGTGAGACACAGCACGACACAGAATAAAGAAGAGAGGATAATGAAAAAGAGTCTTTCCAAACCAAAACGGACAAAAATTACATGTTAGTTCTCTGAGAAGTCGACTTTAAATCCGGGGCACTATAAAGCACCACCATGAGACAAAACACAGTACCCTCTGGATTTACCAGTGAGAGCAGAGAAAATAGCAATTTACTGGCACAACATTGTCTCTCCAAACCTGAGATGCAAGTTTTCAGACACTAGTTTATTTGTTCTTCTGAAATGACTTCATTTAAAATCTTTATTTGAGCAGAAAAACACAAGGTTAGTTTTATTTTTTTTTTACTATAGTTGAGAAAACTCTTTGTATTTGACAGGTTAAAATCCACTTACTGATCACTGATCGATCGATTGATTGTTACTGACATTGTATTGAGCTTTTTTAACCTTTTTCCACAGATTGAACCTCAGAAGAAATGGTCCATATTTCTATACTAACATGGACAGCAGGTCAACAACATTAATTAAAAACAAATCACAATGATAACAGCTGTCAGCTCCCTAAGCCACACCATCTTACACTTCTAGTGTTTTTTTCTTAACGTGGCCATCATTCAAAATTTCCAGACACTAAAATCTGTATGTCAATCTTCATATGTCAGTTGTATTAGTCTGAAACAATGGAGAAGTCTGACTGAGTACTACTAGTGATTTCATGACAATGTGCAGCTCCATCGCCCAAAGAGGGAAGTGAGAGCAGAGAGCGAGAGCGAGACAAACACCCCCCCGAAACTCTTCTTTCATTTTACACTTAAAATATAAACAATGTGAACGCCTGGGTTTTTTTTTTTTTTAGGTGAAAAGTGAAAGTTCTCTTTCCGTTGTTCTACTCGTCTTCCTCCTCTTGGAGGAAGACAGACAAAAAGCTTCTGACTTTTTCACTCACACAATATATGACAGTGATAAGATAAAAGATTAGTAGCTAACAAAAGCAAATATCTGTTGTAAAAAAAATGCCTGGTAAGTCTTGGTTGAAAAAAGGTCTAATCTATTTTACTGTTGGACAACATTTACAAAAAAGGGGCTGACATTTGTAGCCTCTCTCTTCCCTAAGGAAAGTGGAAAGTGAACTACTTGTCATTGTGACACAGCACATCACTGCACAAAACCAAATGTGACCTCTGCTTTTAACCCATCACCAAAGTGAACAATGGGCAGCTTTAAGCGCCCAGGGAGCAGTGTGTGAGGACGGTGCCATGCTCAGAGCACCTCAGTGGTAACTTGGCAGCTGGTAGACTTGAACCTGAAGCCTTCCAGACCCAAGTCTGCTTCCTTAACCACTATGCCACAACTGCCCCTAAAATATTGACTCTCACAACAACATTGTTAGCTTTATTCCCATCATCACAAACAAGATCACAAGATCACCCATCATCACAAAAGTTGTTGTTGAATTGCTGCCTCCTGTGGATATTTTGTGTAAATGACCTGAATCTAAATGAAGAATTTCACACACAAAAAGGACATTAGACCACCAGTTGATGGAGGCAGCAGCAAGTCATTAGCTCCTGTATGCTGATGTGTACATCAAATCATTTTCCCTCCATCTCTTAACAGACTTTGGTGAGGTAGGTGTCTGGTACCAACTCACCTGCCCTTAGAGACGATGTGGTCTGAGTCATGGTTGGGAAATGTGTGAAATCCCACGAGGGATCCATCATGATGTTGTCAAATATCTGCATGAAGAGAACGGAAATACAACTTAGAATGAACACGAAACCATAAGTTTTGGGATGTTGAATATCTTATATTTTATATATTGCTCTGTGTAAGCAAGTGAGTCAGTATGTGAGCAAGTTATTATATGTACCTGGTTATTGGGGTGAAGGTAGTGGTCGTCTGCAGCCATGATGATGCCTGAAAAAAAAAACCCATGGGCGAAAAATGTAAATATCAACGTGGTAATAATCACAACTCCATCATAAATCCCTATGTCTGAACAGGACTAATCCATGTTAATGTATTCCAACATAACTGAAAATGAGTCTTTATTAGAACCTTTAGAAGTTTGGTAGCAGGCAAGCTCAATACTTTCCTACCCTTCGTCTATGGTTTAGAAAACCATGTCCATTTGTCTACAAAGAATTCTCTAGTTCCTAAGCAGCTTAGAAGCTATATCTATATTCTAGAGAATCATATAGAAACATCTTCAAGAAACGCTAGCTAAAAAATACTAGGTAGTCGAGGTCAACATTCAGCTAAGAACGCAGGGTGTGATCCTGAGCTCACCTCGTCTACATGCCAATGAGTCCCTGGGTTGAAAATGAGATGATGCCTTGCTGACTTAGAGGCTGCCTAACAGAACTTTCAAACTTGACCATGACCTGGATGACTGAGGATCTTCATAGACATGAGGCTGCTTGTGATTTATTTTTACAATCAAACAATGTTCTTTATTTATAATTCCATCCACCCTGACAAGACTCTACAAGAACCTTCTCCACACAATGAGGACTGTGATCTGCTGTGGTAAATCAGTGACACGTTCTTCCTAACGTGGATGTCTCTCTTCAGCAGATGGCATTTTATTTAATTATGATTTAATTTGTCTTTTTTTCCACCTCTATTGTATGTCAGATTTATTAAATGTATTATGATTAAAAATGAATCATAATTTTGCTTTTCTGCTTCAGCCATGTACAATGTCTACAGTCATTACCAAATGACGGATTATTTAATGTGACTTTTTGCTGATTAAAATTGCGCTGCTGTCAACACGCTTAAGCTCAGTCGCTAACATATCACAGGAAACCACACTGTTGTTATAAACGGGCAAATAAACGTGTAGTACATACATTCCCTTAGCAATACTAACGCAGCCAATGTCGCAATGGGGCGTCTTACAAGCTCACCGTTACCTGTAGGTGCTAACCAGGAGCTAATCCTCCACAGCGTAGGTTCCTTCCACACGATCCTTCATACATAAATAATTTTATTGAGGGTCCCCCACTACTCACTTTCAGGCCTTGCACTGAGCATGCATGTTCGTTATTATTAAAGTTTATTGGTTTCCTATATGTACTGACATGTGTTCAAAAGTGGTCGTAAACACACAAAGCGTAGTTTTTCCACACGTCGTCGCTCTTTCGCCTGCTACTGCACACAAAGCGTGTACGACGGTCGGGGGTAAATCCAGCGACAGAAGTCGCAAGCAAAGTAAAATCTGTTATAAATGTATTTAATTTATATAACTTAAAGTACCCCGAATAATTAGTACCGACTTTGTAAATGTATACACACAAATGTGAACGTGATTTTTTTACAACGCGCGGTTAATTGAGACATTGAGAATATGTAAGCCACCCTTTTTGGCTTGGTACTCAAAGTTACCTGGTTAATAAGGAAGTGTAACAAAGCGAGACTCTATGTGGTGTAGCGGTAAAAGCGGTGCCAGTGTTATTACGTTTCTGCATTGTGCAGCGCGTGTGGACCAGTGAGTATGTGATGTAATTAACGACTTCTTACCTGCTGAAAAGCGACGGCAGCAGTCTACACACGAGCTTTGATTGACAGGCTTCACTTGGTCATCTCGCCATGTTTCACACTGAGGCGTCTCAACAACAGCAGCACGTCGTGACGAAACAGCACCGCGTCATTACGAATACCGTTTTTTTAAGTAATGAAAAGAAAACAGCTAAACGAAGGATTAAAAATAGGTTATAATTTCCCTGCAAATAACTCCACAAAATACGAAAGAGTCCTGCAGGTGACACCAGGAGCGACTTTACACATTCATCAGGTTCACTTCCTTCCTCAATGGAATTTCCCTGTGACGTCACAATCTGCACGGAGACAACACACGAGGGTTCACTCTAAGCCCTAAAAAGTTTGGACAAATCTTTGAAAACAATTCATAGTTAGGACTCCGCACAATGAGAAAAACATATTGAAGAGTACATGGTTTTAATATTCGTATAAAAACTTGGATATTTAAAAAAAAGTATATTTAGGTAGCAAAATAAAGACAAATTGATCAAAATAGATTATGGGAATATAACATGTAAAATATTAGGTCTTTAATTTCAAGATAAAATAGTGAGTTGAAATTCAATTAAAATAAACATATGGGGGTAAAAATTAAAAGGTTGTAATTAGTTTTATTTATTTATTTGCTTTTAAGTTGGAATGCTGGCTTCAATCCCAAAATAGTAAAAAGTCACAACTTTTTTTCTGACTGCGGATGGGCCATTACATACATAAACAAGACCGGTGGTCTGTTTTTATCCAGAGCAGAGTGACTCCTCTTGCCCATCATCAACAATCTCGGATCAGAAAGTAAGCGTATCTGCGCCAACTACTGGTCAAATGTGAGCATTCGACACATTCAAATCTCATTTCACAATGTGTGAAAATTGTAGGAAATAACAAAACTGAATCACTATAAAAACTGATATCTTATCGAAACAACATTTATTTAAGTGGCGAAAAAGATTCACAAAACTCACATCGTCCATTTATTACTGTCTTTATTTTTATGAGTAAGCACAACGTTTTATTGGTAATGAAACATATAGGTTTACTATAGTTATTACAACAATTCATATTAACCTGGACATCAAGTGTATGAGCATTAGGAAAAATAATTAGTGCAATTTACAGTAAAACGTTAACAAAAAAGTTTCTTTTGCAAAAATATACAAACATCTGTTAAATAAAGACTTCAGGTAGAAACTGAACTGAGGCACGTTTAACTCAGCACACAAAGCACTGCAATGGAATATGGGGCAACACTTGCTGCACCACACGACGCCACTAGGGGGCAACACATCGACGCTACGAGGCACAACGGACGCTGTGAAGCAGAAAGTCACTTTAAAGCACGATTATAACATCTAGCAAAACACTAAAGTCAACGGCAGTTTATTGTGCGACTGATAGATGTTAAATTAAAGGGTAATTCAGAATGTTACATCTGATATTAGCTACAATTACGCACAAAATATCTGAACATCCAGTTTTGCTCGAGCTAATGAGGTTTTTAAAATCTGCGTGATTTTCCTCCTGAGGTGTAGGTAGATAATCTCTGCGGCCACTTTTTAAGCCTCCTTCACAAAGAGTTCGCACAAAAATGTTCCCCTCTACGATGGCAAAATGCATCTCCTTTATCGGACTCCACCGTGTTCTCCTTTGTGGGAATGAGAAAGAGCCATGACATGACACCAGATTGTAGTGAAATGTTAAAGATACGTAAGTGCCAGAGAAAGTAGAAACACAACAGCTGTTTGGTATTGAATGTTGTGCTTCTGATAATCATTCACCATCTCCTGATAAAAGATAGGTTGCACTAAATGTCTGCAATGAGCAGGACGGGTAAGAGAAGCCATTGCTACTGCCCCCTAAAGTTCCATAATAACCTGTGAGGTTCCTCATTATCACTTCTGGATTAATCAGACACCCAACTGTTTCCCATTGATCATTCCTAGAGTGCTGTAGGCTGCAGTTTTAGGAGTAAAACAGCGCCTCCTAGCAGTAACTTTTGTTACAGAATATAAGAAATTGGCAAATTAATACAACCCTGTACCATTTAATCTCTCACAGGGTTGTAGGGGAGTTTTAGCCAATCCCAGCAGTCACATGGTGGGTCAAGACGTGGGGAGGTGGTGGAGTTCACCTGGAACAGTTCGTCCGTTCATCACATAGCCACGTATTGGAAGAAACAACCACTCACATTCATACTTACGGTCAAAATAGAATGAACCAAGAAATCCTAATCATGTTTTCGGGCTGTGGGAAAACATGCTAACTCCATACAGACAGACCATCAATTACCACCAGTGACGGAACTGGTGATCTTTATGCTGTAAGGCAAGTGAATTGGCAAGTAAATACATTATATGCAGGTTTTAGGACTAAAGCTATGGTTAGGGTAATATACAATGAATAGCACATGACACATGTGGTGCAACCCACCAAAAACATGTAGTGCGACCCACCACAAGGGCTGGCAGACTTGCAGTTCTGTAACTGCAGCGTTATGTTGTGCAGAAATGTCTATTTCACCTCCACTAACCCCATCTGTACCACAATAGCACCTTTGGGCTGATACTGCCCCCCTACAAACTGCTACGGTTTCCTTTGACCTATGTATAGGCAAATACTGCCCCCTGTTGTTGTTACAAATTAACCAGGATTTAGAATACGAACGGATTTTCCAGTATCTACCTTCAAACAATACAGCAATTGTATATTTGTATGTACTCAGTGAGACTGGAATCATTTGGGTGTATGATGTCTGAATATAAATGTGTGCTCATTTTTAACATCAATATTAGCCCAAACCTCTGGTAGAAATTCCGGTTGCAGTAATCCAACTACAATAGGCGAATATAGCTGCTGCAGTCAGTTCAACCAGTGTTATCAAATCCAGCTTGATTTAATTAAAAAAAATTGAAGAGTCAAAGAATGAATGATATCAAGAATAAAAAACAAATCTTAGTGGTTTATGTAGAGTTTGTAGTAAAAATGTCTCTGGCTCCCACTGTGTGACTATGGACAAAGTCTTTCAGGGTTTAAGGTTAAAGGTAAAAGAATTGACTCACATTAACTCAAACTAATTTAAACAAAAATCAATAATAAAGTATTCATCTACCTCTAACATGTACTTGGCAGTGGCAATGTTATCATGAACAGTAGCTGTACTTGATTTAGTACAACCTCAGTTTCACACTGTTGACAGACTGTGTTATCCATGTAGTTTTTACTAATGCATTAAAAGACTGAAATTTCCAGTTACTGCTCTGTGGTCACTGTGGTCTCAGAGAATCAGAGATGGTTTTGTTTGAGTCTGGGCGCTCATTAGCTCGTCTATTTTCACTTAGACATGAAAACAAAAAAGCCTGGAGGATTTCTACGAGTGAAGGAGGAAAAACAAAATGATTTGCAGCCTTTCATGAACCAGTCCGTCAGATTCCTTCATTTTTCACCTGATTCCTTCATATACCAACCCACGTGGAGCTTCTGTTTACTCTATAGCTGCACAATACTTTTAAAAACAAAAGTTTCTACAATATAAAAACTGACACTGAGTTTACTGATACTTACTATATATACTGTATACATACAGTAATATGTGAACGGACATTTACGACTCATCTTAAATACCCTATAAAGCGTATCCAGTCTGGAAATTTGTCAAACGTAATAACAGCTCTTCTCCCAAAAGTGGCCAGTAAAACGCTGAAGGGTTCAGATAATAACACTTTGCATTTAGGTGCTATATATTAAACTACTGTCAATGTAAATTCTGTTACTGGTAAGTGCTCAGTCAGCAGGATAGAGGATGGAAACATAACCTTCATTTGTCTCTGTTGTGAAAATAAAAAAACTCTCTTAGCCCTAAACCTAATTCGCTGCACATCTGGCTCTTTACCAACACTTGACTGCAGGTCATCAGCAGCAGGACAGCAGGAGGCGCTGGAGCAGATTAATCAGTGTCCACCATCTCTGGAGGAAGGACTTTCAGAGCGTTTGTCCTTGACGGCAGCAGAAGTTTTCTTCTGCTTCTGCTTGGACTTCCTTAGCATTCGCACCTACAATGGGCAAAAGAGGTCATCATCCGGGTGGACAGCGATCACACAGACACCTGGCTGATGCTGATGTCACACTGTACCTTTGGTCCAGCAGCAGAGATGATGATGTGACCCGGTGGTTGGATCCAGGGCTCACCGTCCACCTGCACAGGAATAGGTTTACTGACAGTCAGACGGATGTAGTTTCCCTGGGCTATACGGATCCCAGATCGTAGTCCACTCTGCACCTGACCCTGAACACACACAAATGGAAACGTAAGTAACATGTCTCTGAACCAACATCTGTTTCATTGATCACAATGTCACTTTACTGATGGTAAGTAAATAGGCAAAATATAACATTTAATCAACAAAGACACACTCACCATGTGGACGACCCCAGTGACACCGACGACCTCCAACAAACCGTCATCAATGCTTGGTTTTCCATGGCGACTGTCGACCTCTGACCCCCAGAGATCAGCACCTGAACCCCAGCTACAAACACACATGGATGTGTCAATTTTTCCTTAGCTCTAAACCTATTACTATCTATAAGTTAAGATAACTAGCAACTTGCAAGTGGATAATTCATGTCTACTAAGGATAATTCAGACCAGCTAGCAACAGCTAACAATTTGTTTGCTGACGTCATTTAACTTCTGGGTGCACCAGAAAAATCTTACTTGCAAACTCCAGTTAAATTAGCATATGCTAACTCTGGTTAAAAACAGTAAAGTTTATCAGTTTATAATGACTATATAAAAACAGTAAAGTTTATCAGTTTATAATGGTAGTGATATTTTGTCAACTTTGACACCTGCTGACTATAGGCGTGTTACCTGGGTATATTAAGGAAGATCAGTCCCTCAATATTTGGTAGTGGGATGTCCTGAGTGTCAACCTGCAGCTGGAGCTCTTTATGGAGACTCCGGGTAGAGCTGATCTTCTGAAGACCCACCTTCACGTATACACCTTTGTTGTGAAACCTGAAACAACAACAATAAACATGAATGTGTGTGTGTGTGTGTTTTTTTAACGTCAAAGTGCGTGGTCTTCTATACAGGCACTATTAGAAAACACTGCAGAGTGTTACCTGCTGGTAAACTTTCCTGGTTCATCCTCCCGGGCCAGGTGGAAGTCCAAACTGAGTTCTGCGTCAATGCCAAGACCAAAGTAGTTGTTCATCTGCACAATCTGAAATAAACAGCGAAACAAAGACACAGGTTATGACCTTCAATGGAATCAGAGGTGAGAACTTTTTACTCTGGTTGAAACAAACCTTCGGCGGCTCCAGGAAGCCACTGTCTTTGCCGTCCTCAGACATGTCTTGTGCGTCCAGCAGGATGGTCCATCGGTCCATCAGAACCACATCTGCTTCATCCACAGAGACCAGAATGTGATGGGGGTCTTCACCACTGTAACCAGGCCCCCAACGCAGGATACGAGCCAGATCATTACCTAAAGAGAGAAGACTGACGTTATTGGTCATCCTCTTTATATCTAAGGTTATTAATCTTCAGTCCAAAGTCAGTCTCTTCTGCTGGAAACAGCCTAGAAGCAGATCTAACTGTCTGAAATAGGTTCTATGTGATCTGACTGGAAGGGACAAACAATGCCTTTGTATGAACAGTAATAATTACAGGAATATTGCGCAAGACATCTCACACGTGAAGGCGGAGCTAGTGTAAATCATAGAAATCATCCAGGTAGAGATAGTCTGACCTGTTCCTAGAGGTACAATGCCAAGGGGCGGCTCCCGACAGACCAGTTTGTGTCGAACTGCCTCCAGGACACTCAGCACCCAACCAACGGTCCCGTCGCCACCACAGACCAGCACACGGAACTTGGGCACATCCCTGAATGTGTGGAGTCTGGAGCAAAGAAGATAAAATTAAGCGACATGATTGTTCTTACATTTACCTGAAGGAAATCTAAAAATACACCTGAAACTGTAGCATTATTGAAAAGAAACTTTGTCCTTCTTGTCTCTGACATATTGTCTTACGTGTACTCACCCAGCCAGTGGTCCTCCGTTGCAAATGTCAAAGACCTGATGGGGGTTCAGAAGTTTTCTGAAGCTGTAGAGGAGCTCACGACCCTTCAGGCCTCCACTCTTGGGGTTAACAAACACCAGCAGGGGGCAGATGTCTGGGTTCAGAGTCTTGTGCTGCAAGAAAAAAAGTGAATAAAATCAACAACATTTTCATGAGACGTTTGCTACAGAGGTTGCAGTGTGATCCAGACTGGAGTGGATTAAATGTGCCGTTACATGTTGTGGTGTCTGTTACCATAATCTCTGGGATCACGAGTGAGGTCAGCAACTTGTCGTTGATACAAGTGTCTTTAGCCAACATGTAGATTCTCTCAGCCTCGGAGAAACAGGAGACCTGCAGCGCCAACGCACCTGCAAATAAAACCACACACAACGTGATGAAAACAACAAATCAGCCAAAAACCTAGAGTCACATCTTAACACAGGACGACAACAGACTTACCTTGACTAGGGTAGATGTGGCTGATGGTGACCAGGTGACCTGCAGGGAGACACGTGGTAAAGTTAGAGGAAGGGATTTTCTCAGAATTTCAGCTTTAGCTTAACGTTAGAATCGTCAGGACCAATACAAGTACTGGGCTGGTTGTGTTAAACCCACTCTTGATGGCCAGGTGTTCCTCTATCAACTGGGCATATTCCTCTTTGGCCAGTAGGGGAGGCAGTCCTCCGATCAGCAGATCGACTTGCACAACACGGTTCCTGTTCTCCACAACATAAAAGCGAGTCTGGTGCATCTGACGCAGCGATGTCTACGACAAAGATTACATGTTAAAGATTAAAAAAAAAAACAACAGCTTCTGCTTTTTCATCTAAACAACATAAACTCCAAATGTTTTGAGACCGGTCTGGTAGCACCTCATCTTACCTTCCTTATCTCCTGAAGTTTGTCCAGAATCTTCTCTTGCGGAGTCAACATCTGTCTCTGAACTGCAGATTGACCAGAAGAAAGGTGATGACCTAAGATTAAAGTCCACCTGTGCTGGGGGCTTCTATCACTGCTGTACAGTTGTCTCTTCACTAAGACTCTATCAACAAATGGACTGTGGCTCACCTTGTTTGCTGTTCATGCAGACTTCCTGCAGACTGAAGTTGGAGACGTCTTCGTCCTGAAACGACACAGACATTAGCAGCACATCACAGTGTTGATTAACAGAAATCTAAAAGAAGATCCAGAAAATCAGATTATAGTCCAGAGTCTCTGTACCTGTCTTTTCAGCTGCACCAGGACATCATCGAGGACTGTAGCTGCAGTGCTGTCCTTAGAGGCAGAGACCTGGACAAAGGCCGAACCAGACCTAAACGATGACGGAAAGAGTTGAAGGGATGATGTTAAAAAGACCAAAAGAAGTTGTTAAAAACAGACCAAACTGTAATGCAACATAAAATCTACAGTTTTAAAATACGTTTAAAAAAATGTCATGAATGCTGAAGATGTTTTAATGACAATTAAAATGCATTAAAAATGCTAAATACCAAGAAAAAGGTTGTGGAAAAAGTTAAAATTCCAAGAAAGTTTGGGTGAAAAAATGTTACAAATATTGGTGTTATCTTAAAAAATATGACAAAGATTGAATCAAAATAAAGAATTTTTTAAATGTCAAAATTTAGGAGAAAAACAATTAAACTAAAAATATTATATAAAAATACTACAAAAAAATTAGCTAGAAAACAAACAAAAATAATGATTCCTACAAACCAGAAGAGCCACATAAACATAACTACACTTCCCATCATGCCTCACCTTGGCCAACTAGGGTACACCTTGATGACTTCAGCATCTCGTTGTTTGGCCCTCAGCAGCCAGGTGTCGCTGCCATCTTTCTGTGTGCTCCTGTTGTCTGCACTGCCGTTACGGTTGAGAACGTCATCACTGTGAAGACGTTGAAGACCACCGAGCTCCTGCAGCTCGAAGTCCTGAGGGTCGTCAGGGAGGTAGAGGGCCCTCAACGCTGCCTCCTGCAGGACAGAGCAGGTATCACATAGTTGTACTGAAGAAACTACGTCTGCTCTGCACTACATCCATGTTTTAACACTTTGATTAAAAAAATCATAATTATCACCTGTTTTAATGATTTTGGTTAATGTTTTCTTTTCTATTGACTGTATTTTCTGGTTTCATTAGTATTTTTATGTGTTTTTGCATGTTTGTTAGTAGTGGTTGGCTACATTGTCTTTAAATACCAACTGCACAACAAATTTCGTGAGAACTAGAGCCCTAAATCCTAATACAAAGAATGAATGTTGTATAAAAGAACAAACTAATAACAATAAAAAAGTTAAAGGAAAATAAATGTCAAAATTATTAGAACAAAAACAGTACAAAAAATAATAAGAATATATTTTTTTTTAAACAACTGAAATGGAATTAAAAATGAAATACTGAAATACATGTCAAAACTGGCCAGAGGGTGGCACCGTCTGAATGACATGTTACCAGTAAAGTTGACACACGACTTATTGGTGTTATGTTTCTGATCATCTTGATCTGGAACAATTAATCAAATAATAATACATGTAATACTATTATTATCATCACCATAATTAACATCATCTGGAGCATCAACAAAGGACATTATCTTTACCCCAACCTATGTAGAGGTTGTATCTAGACTTACAATTAGAGTCCAATTAGGCAAAACAAACAGGCTCTGCAGGTTTGTGGCTGTGTGTGTGTCTGTGTGTGTGTGTGATGTTTGTAAAGCTATACTTTAAAAAATATTGTTTTTGTTTGGGACAGTGTTCAGGTTTGAGTGAGTAATGTAAGGCTGAGGGCGAGGCAGGTATTTGTAATATTTAAGATTTGGGTAAGAGGCTGAAAATGCATTATGTCGCAAGTTCTCACAAAAGACCAACATCAATGTGTGTGTTGTGTGAGTGTGTACAGTATGTGTCTGTGTGTTTTCAGACTCACCACGACCTCTTCGTTTTTTGTGGCTCTAAAAATGGAGACATGGCGGAAGCAGTTGCGCTTGATGGCATCATCTCCGTCAAACACCTTCAGTAGCTGTTTACCTAAAGGTCACACACACACACACACACATACACACACACACACACACACAAACAGACAAACACCAGCTTCTGTCATCCTTTGCCAAACTCTCAACACATTAATGCAATTATCACTCCCTCCCTTCATCACCTCAGACAAGTTAATTACGTGGAGGAGATGGAAAGAAGCAGCTGTTTACTTAGTCCTTGCACAGGATTGGATAAAGTTTACTCATGTATATTTACAGAGATGAGGATAGAAATCCATACAACAACTGATGTTCATGTTTTTGATCTTTTTTTTTTTTGATTGTTTTGATTTTTGATCATGTTAAAGTATTGTCAAATTATTTTTATTTGAATCCCTTCTATTCTTAATTTCTTGGTGTTCAACATTAAAAGATAATTTATTGTCTATTTGGGGGTAATCTAGAGGATTTTAGAAGATTTCAGGAAACCATCTCCAAAACTTGATATTAATGTTAACTGACCTGACTCTGGAGCAGCCGTCTGACCATCTTTAACCACTGTCACAGCAGAGGCATCGACTTCATCTGTGTTATCTGAAGGAGACGTAGAATAGGGTCAAACACAGAGGTGGCAGGTGGCTCAGTTAACACCTATTTATACACATGACAGCTCAAAAACAAACCGTTTTTATGCAAAACAGTCAAACGTACAGTACTGTTTTCTTTTTCAACATGTGAAAAGGTTCTCCTGTGACTTTCATGAATTTGTGTTTTTCTCTGCAGCTTGTACCGAAAAACTGTGAGAGTAGAAGAAGATTCAGCAGCAGCTTCCAGGAAACAAGTGTTACTGCCTCTCAGTCACTCAGGGAGGATGTGGTCAGTATGTGTGTGTGTGTGTGTGTGTACCCAGCTCCGTGCTGCTGCTCTCAGTGATGCGGTAACAATGCATCTTGCTGAAGTTCCTGGAGTCCAAACGAACCGAAGCCGGATGCAGCATCATGCAGCGCAGTCGTCCCAGGGTGCACTCTGGTGGGACGCTGAGGTAACACATAACATGGGTCTGCACACAAAAACACACAAGCAGGCAAAGCTTCATAATAATGAAATGTATACATCACTATGTGCTTAAAGACTTTATAATGAGATGATTTTTGCTGTATTGTAGTTTTTTTAGATTACTATTTCAGAGATATTAAGAACAGCCAGACTACGGAGTTCTTCTGTCGCTCCTCTAATTAATATATACAGTATTTGCGGTAACACCTTCATTGTTCCATGACATCATCCCGAGCTATTATAAGGCAAATGTTTACAGACAGGCAAAGACGTTTGTGTACTTTAAGATTATTGACTTTTCCACATCTAGTCACGATCATTCAGAACACAGCAATTGTGTTTTTCTCTGCCCACTCCTGGATGAGTATTTCCTGTAAAAAAAAACAAAAACACTGGGATCGATTCTCACCGTGATGCCGCACCACTCACACCTCATTCCCGCCAGGACATCGGAGGAACCACAGGAGCGCCGACACACTTCACACCTGGCTGCTGATGAAAGGTTCCCCTCCCTCCAGTGGTGATGAAACGTATCCTGGAGCGACAGAAAGCAGATCCTGTTGGTGAGGTTGCTGCTGACCATTAGTCAGTAATGGTCTGAGCTTCAATCATTGCCATGGTACTGATTGAGATCAATAGCTCTGACCAACCAATAAGCTCATGCATGGAAGGCTCAGAAACTATAGGTCTATAGGCCTATAACCAAATGTACGGCACGACAATGACTTTTTTGACCACAATGACCTTTTTTGCAAGAACCACCTTTTTCTGCAGCATCAAATTGTAACTTGGCTACTAATATAACTGACTCTCACCTGCTCCACGCTTGCATCCAGGTGAGGTCGGCGGCAGTCAGCACAGGTGAAGGCAACACAGTCTGAGTGGACATGCAGCTCACACACTGAAACACACACACACATTTACACACATATGATTAACAGGTGATAACTGATAAGGCTCGGCTAAGTTTACACACATCATAGCTTTTAATGTGTCAGTGTTATAAATGGCTCTGGTTAATGTCCCACCTTCACAGCGCAGCGCTGTTGCATTTCCCTCTGTTTGTTTCCTGCAGACACAACAGAAACGTCTCTTTGGTCCGGCAGGACCAAAGCAGTGAGCCACTGGCACCTGCAGAGGGCAGTGCACACATAATGAGTGCTAGAGTATAGAAAACACAACGCAAAAATGAATTGATTTGTTAAAATGTTAAAAGTGGGTTTGTACATTTAATATTTACAGTAAGAAAATATTGTTACTCTCCTACTGATCTTTAGAACATCGTACAGCCACACAAAATACCAAAATATTCCTTTAACCCAATTTCCTAATGGTAATAAAGTGGCAACAGGTGAATAAAAATGTGTTTGTTGTCGGTGTATTGACCACTGCAGCTCTAACTCTGGTTCAGTGATTGGTGCTGGGTGGATCAATAAAAGGTTCCCTGTGTTTATTACTCACATGGACAAGGGACGGAGCCAGGCAGGAACAAATGGAGCGAAGAATCTTCAGGCATTTCTCATGACACATGAAGTTACACACTAAAATAAATAGTACAGATAGAGTTGCACAATTGTCAGGGTGCAGGTTTGATTCCACATAAACATATACATTTATATATCTTACATCACTGTTTCCCAAGGACTGGGTCACGACCCTCTGGTGGGACACAAGATCTTTTTTTTGTTTCGGGTCATCTCGCATCATATTGCCAGGAGTTTAGTTTAGTTTATTTAAAAGGGGACAGTGCAATTTCATAAAACATGATTACACATGGTTAAAAAAAGCCAGAGTTAGCCAGAAGGCTAGTTTGCATCTTAGTCAGTTTATGAATACTGTCTATTGACTTGGGTCGCGAAGGTTTGTGACTTTTAAAATATGGGTCCCAAGAAAAAAAGTTTGGGAAACACTGCCTTACATGAGTAAAAATTGCTAGCCATAAAACATGATGCAACTGAAACTCTAAATGTGAAACACTGTTATTTTGTAAGTGCGTTTACAGCTTCATCTGAAAGTAAGATGACCTTTATCCCAGGAACTGGGGGGTTCGAAACCCTTCAGGCTCCCTCACCAAAGTCCATTGACAAGTTGTAAGAAGGTAACGACTTTAAAGGTATATACTGGCTTTTACGGTAGGCTTTCAGTAAGCGCAACACTGTTGGCCTCAGAAACGTGACCTTTGAGCCCATGTTCCTGATAAAAATCAAGGGGAAATTGTGTGCCTGCATTTTTCCACTTTCCACCAAACCAGTGCTGACTCTTTAAATCTTTTCCATATACAGTGACAGTATGCAACAGTACAACATAGTCTGTTCTGTCCAATGTAAACAAATACAGTGTCAACTGATGATGATGATGTTCTTCCCTGCTGAAACAGGAAAACCGTCTCATCTGACATCTCTTTGACAATATCTGGTGAGGCTCATGGGTACAAAATAATATAGTTATTACCAGTGCTAACATGATGAAGAAAATTTGAATAAAGGCATCGTGAGTCGAATACAGCTGATGACAGGCTGCCCTACGACATCATAGCTTTGTGTTTTTAATCCAAGTGATGGCTTAAGGAAGTAACATTGCATAACCACATACATACACACACAAACATACAGGAAGGGGTGGGAGGGAGAGAGAGAGAGAGAGAGAGAGGGAGAGGGAGAGAGTCTACAATTTGTGTGTTACTGGGCAGAGTGGTGATGGTGTATGTGTCTGAAGTGTGTGAACTCCTGATTTACTTCCTCTGGTTGTCATGGCAACAGGAGACTGGCAGAGATGCTAAGTGTTTCCATAACAGTGTGTGTGTGCGTCTGTGTGTGTGAGTTCCTATGTTCCATTCACGACTGAGTTGTTGTTTAGTGAAAAGGAAGGAAAGAAAATAGAGAGTGGGGAGGAAGTACTCCAATAAAAGGAGATAAAAATGGGAAGGAAAAGACCGGAAAGTAAATTAGAAGCTGAAGGGATAGAGGCCGCAAAGTGCATAAATAGGAGAGTGGAAATTGAAAACAGGATGTAAATAAAAGATGAGGAAAGGCAAGTAAAGATGGGAAAGTGTAAGACAGAGAAGAAAGAGGAAACACAGAAAAGGGAATGAATAGAATGGAAGAAATTGGAATAAAAAGGAAAGGAATGGGTCACACTCTGAGCCTCACTACGTGACCTGTGTTGTTGTCACACTTGTCAGAGGTCAGGGGGCAAACTCACCCTCACACAGGAAGCCTACGAGGCCCCAGATGAAGTCACTGCAGCTGTGACAGAATGTGGGTTTGGTCAGCGTCACTTTCTTGAAACTGTGACCCGGTGCTGAGCTCTTGTACCGGGCCCGTGTCCCCGGGGACTGATGTGCCCGGGCCCCAGGAGACTGCGGCCCCCGCTTCCTCACAGTCAGCGGGCTTTCTGCACGGCTGTCCGCGGCCGCTGCCTCCACTGGTCTGGCCCGACTTGGGTCCGCCATGTCTCCCCCACGACACACGCACACAGACAGCGGTCAGTGTGACCGGCGAAACAACCGGCTACAGTGCCGGCGCAGAGGAAAAGCCCGGTTTCTAAATAAATGTCCACTCTGGCGGAAACATCTCACTCCGGCTCTGTACGGCGAAAAGGTCGCCGAGCTCCGTGTGGGTCCTAGGGCGCCCTTTGCTTGGTAAAATTACAGGATGTGCTTACAGGCCACGACGCCAAGAAGCAAACTCAGTTTTTCCTGTAAATGTGACGTGAATCACCCCAGTGGTGGACGCATCACATCGGCTGGAGCTAGCGGTGCCACCCAGCGGAGCTGCTTGAGGGGAGCACCGCTTTCGGTGACACTTGCCGCCTCTTGGCCGCTAAACATCCACTTCTAGAATAATAAATAATAAATAATGAAAAAAAAAAAGAACACCGTGGTGTTGACTGAAGGCGGAGGTGGTTGTAGTTTTTCACGCTGCTGAAGACGTCTTATACCATGCCGGCCGAGATTAGAGTCCCTTTGCCGCGGAGACAGCGGTGCCACCCTGCAGAGCTGCGGGGGAAAGGCAGCCGTGCTCCACGTGAGTCCCAGAGCTCCCCCCGCCCTAAGACGCCGGATGAATTAAAGATGACGCTGGAGCAGGGTCTCGGTGCTGCACCAGCGGCCGTCTGTGATGTGAATGAAGAGCTGTTGTGCTGTTGTTAGTCGGTCATCATTGCTTCTGACAGCCATGAAGAAAGTCGCGGGTGAAACACGATACAGCAGCGACGGAATGTGTCCAGGTCAGCGGACAGAGAGCAGCACACAGCCGGGCAGATGGACCGGCAGACCCGTGCAGATCAACAAGTGTGGACAATGAGACGTTCAAGGACTGTTTTCTTTTCAGGTTTCTTCTTACTCAGCTCAGTCTCGTTCTTCTTCCGCGTCAGTCTCACACACTGATTTACTCCTCCTCTTCCTCCTCCTCCTCGTCTTACTCCACTTCATCCTGTCTCCTCGTCTCCTACCCCCATCCTGTCTCCTTGTATCCTTTCCTTCAGCCTCTCATTCCTGTCTCCATGTATCCTACCTTCCCTATTGTTGCAGTTTCCCAAAGTTCTCGCTCATCTTCTGGGTCTCATGAAGCTTCCTTCCTCGTTTTGTTTCCACACCCTTGTCAATCAAACAGTTCTATTAATAATAACAACAACGACTACGACAATAATAATAATTAAATGTTATTGCTATTTTTATTAATGCTCAGAGTTGCAAAATTGGAAATAAACAATCGAAACAGTTAGACAAAAGTTAGAACGTAAAATAGAAGTACAAAACAGAAAAGGCACCATATTGACTATAAAAGTACAACATAATACAACATAAATATGTTATAATAAGATATATTCAAATGCAAAAGATCTAAAAGTATAGCCAATTGACAGAAAATATAAATTAAAATAAATTAAGAAAAAGAAACATAGTAGGTATAAAATATACATACCATATTAGGTATTAGATATATATATATATACACACACACAGAGTATATATGTATATATGTACACACACACACATTACTACAGTGATGTAGTAAATACAAATTTTAGATTATTAACCCTTTACCTCATCCTGTTTTTATGGCTCTCTACATTCTGGATATTGATCTATAAAGGCCACACCTACTGTTGTAGATGAAGACTGTAGAAGGCTCAGCTTTATCATGTCCATTAGGACTCTTCTGCCCTTTGACAATCTCCCCACTCCATCAAATGTCATTTACCTCTGACTTCAGTCCACAACGAATTAATTTTGTTTGTATAGATTTGTAAACACCGAGCAGGTACCCGCCTGGTTTCATTCTTTTCCTGCAGGTGGTGCTCTAATGTTGACCATGTCATAAATGATAAAAAGACAATTATTACTTTTAAAAATTATTTCATAATGGCAATTCCGGGTTGTAGTAGCCAACATTTTGAATAAAATGGTCGAAACATTCAGTTCTAAGTCATAAAGGGAAAGAAGCCAGTAATTCTTTTTAACATAGTTATCATTTGCCTAGCAGATGTACTTTACATACATAGTGGGGTTTGAAAAACTGGCTCCTTTTGTACGTGACATAATAATTTGCTTATTGCTCTCGACAGTATTAAAATCACCCGATACACAGAGTTTAATTGTCAAAAGTAGTCAAAGCACTACTTTGTGCACATCAGTACATCAGTACTGTGGTGTGTGGAAGCCAGCGACAACAAATGTCCCTGGGAGATGGAAGACTGCTGTGGAAAAAAATTAACTAACGAACAACAGTGTGTAAAGTAACACTTATTCAAGTACAGTATCCTAAATTATTCTTACAATAATTACGCATATTTCTTCCACTAGATGGTGGTATATATTCACTTTTTACTCGTGTCTTTTAAAAGGTGTAGGCCTCAAAAGTAATAAATACAAAAGTGAGTAAGAAATTATATCAAAGGAAGTTATCATATATATATACTGTATATATATTTATGAAGCAAGTTAGATTTGTATTATTAGTATATTAACAATGAAAGTTAGATCAAATGCATTGAAGTTCCAGCTTGTGTCCAAAAAGAAGAGTTCCTGATTGTGAGCGGATCTTCATATTGTAGAATCAAGTAATTCATTAAGAAAAAAGCAAATGTCAAATGAATCTTTCTTGTCCTCAATTAACTATAAGCCACGTCATGCTCCATTTTCTGAAACAAATACTGAGCACAACAGAGATTTACGGTGTTCCTGCCGGAGCTCGGCAGACGGCAGAGTGGTCAGAACCATTACTATCACCTTCATTTCTGTCCCTTGGAGTCTGAACGTACTGCACGTCCACATTTATCCACCAGTAAAAGTCTGTGGACAGAGACTGATACTTAGATAAGAGTTCTTCCCATGAACATGCACAGGGCAGGTACAAACCTGCAAGAAAGTGTGTTTTCATAACCTTAGTCAAAACGAGACTGAGGTTATGAAAACACACGTGTGAGAGCCATGCTGACGTTTTAAGACCTCCATATTTCAAGGGATGTAGCCCTTGATGCCAGTTTGATTTTTATTTTAACACATTTAAGTCCTCTATATTTTATGGTTATTTCTTCTTGTAGAGAATTTAACATGAGTTTAATATGTTTACAAGTTCAACATCAGTGACAAAAGCCTACCACACGGGGCCAGGTGGGTGACCCCTGTAGTAGAGGGAGCAGTTTAAAAAAAACTTCCCTTTCTTCACAAGACATAATAAACGTCATATATAGGTCATTGATAATGATCTTAAAAATACTGCTGACGTTTAGTTTACAACAACAAGATTGGGGAAGTTAACTGAAGTTGCAACATTTTGGAACATTTTTGTATGAAAAGTACATTCACTGTAAATACAGACTGCGTTTCATCAGCAAACAGTGGAAAATCGTTTTCACATTTTACTGCAGCGCTTTGAGCTGCGACCGCTGATACGTCCTCAAACTGTGGGTGAATGTGTTTGGTGACGTGTTGTGGTCACACTGTGCAGACACACACACACACACACACACAGAGAGAGAGAGAGACTCACAGTCTGCATTTTCTGACTTCTACTGAAATTCTATGATTACAACACATTGGTCACACATATGCTCTACTGCTGCTGTCACTTCTACAGCAGTAGTGATTATAATAATAGTCTCTAATGACATATGAGGACTACAAAACTAAATAAAAGCAAAAATTTAGTAAAAGCTAAGGTAAAAGACAAAAAAAAAACGAAAGCTAAAGTGCTTTACATGTGCAAAGAAAATTTCAAACATAGCAGTAGCAGAAAAAAACATTTGGACTGACTGAGCTAACTGATTAGATTGACTCTTACCAAAGTTCTTCTGATTTTATGGGATGTCTTCCCTCAGTTTAACCTCTCACAAATCTCTATACAAATCCTCGGACCATGATTCCAGAAGTCAGGCAATGAGCTCATCTGCTTGGTGTCGTTACACTGTAATTACCGCCTGTAACCGTCAATCTTGGTTTGGTCAGTGTGTGGAGGCTAAGTCGGACTGTTTTTGAGGAACGACTAAATCACAGACTGTTCTGAACATTGAGGGTTCGCTCTGTCACGTTTGGAACATTGAGTATTTACAAGCTGGAATAAAAGCAGTAGAAAAGTCAGCTTATGTAACTGCTTACAATGAATGCTAGACAAACACTGAAGTTTTTTACACAAGAAGTACCTCTAAAAAGCAAAAAATGTCAGGCACCAAAATGGAGTATTTCTGTGTTAGGAATACACACAACACAATTTTTCTTTATACCTTCTTTGCCACAACCTGGTTTGTCTTTGTAAACTCTTTACTGTGCACCGCCCTCTAGTGGAAAAATCAAAAGCCGTGCCTTCATAAAGTACTTGTGTTTTAGTTTCATTTGTTTCTACTGTACATTACCTGCACAACTGTTTGAAATCCACCTGCATTCTTTTTACTTAGATGTAAGATCAACTTCCTGAGTTAGAAAGCCTCGACCGAACACAATCTCAGAGAGAAAAAAAAGAAAAACCTACCACGTTACCCACATCTGAAGTTGAGTCATGACAACTTAAAACATCTTTTCAAAGCTCCAAATCAAAGATGAGGAGTTTGTAACTCATCCCAGTGCGTGATGACGATATTAACAGAAACATTGGCCTTGGATCAGAGGGTAGAGGGATGTTGTCTTCAAAGTAAATGGGGTTTGAATCTCCAGTGTGTGTGTTGAGGTGTTCCTTGGGACAAGAGTATTAACCCAAGTTATTCATTTTACCCCAGCTAAACAGAAAAGCCACAGTGTTTACCCTTGTGCCAGTCCTAAGGCTGGGCAGGTGGGTAGGTGTGATTCAGGAACGCTGTCCGACATTAAAACCAACCCAAAACAAACATGTGCAGATTTTGCTTTTTTGTGGTATGATCAGCTAATTTACTGACATTTTAAAATGTAGCATCACTTTATCGTCAGGTGATGTGTTATAATATAGTCATATTGTTACAACAAACAGTTAATTTTCAGCTTCTCTTATATTGGTCACATAACTGGCCTCCTGTAACCCTAACACACACTGTGGTTGACACACACTGTAACCCAACAATAACTTTAATTTGAATTTTTGTCCTATATATTCAGTTTGCTTATTTCTTTATTTAACCGTTTCAAACGTCATTTACACCTTCAGATATATTTTATATATGAGCAGAAACTGAAAGAAAATCCCCCTGAAAAGCCTTTAATTTATGTCTGGCACGGCTTTACTACTGCTGTGTTGGAACAGTGAGGAAGAGGAGGATGAGGATGAGGAAGAGGAGGCCCAGACAGGCTCAAGGCAAAACATCTATCATGGTGAAAAGACTCCCTGTCCGCTCGGTGTACAGCAGTAATCATTTTAAGAGCTGCTCTGACTTTATTGAGGAAATAGTGGTTTAAAAAAAAAAAATCAAACGAGTCTCTGATGTTTGTTTTAGGTTTGAAATATTCAGCCTTCTCGGCCAGGAGTTTATTGAGATGTTTGTACACAAACCAGACTGGACGGTAAATTTAAGCCTAGATTTTATAAATATAAAATTTCCATATTCACTCAGTGCCAATGTTTTGGGGTGAAGTTTGTTCATATGTTGTGTGTTTGTTTCCCGTCGATGTGTCTTAATATTACCGTAGTTTTGGAAATAAATAAAGAGTTCAAATATTCAGCACCAACATCGTTTATCAGATATGATTTAAAACATTTTAGACGTGAATCTTATCTCTGGCTGCTCAGTCTCGTAGCTTGTCTGGATGTGCTGTAACAAGTCTACGCATCGCCACTTAATCTAGAGCAAAATTATTCATAATTACACATCTGCAGTTCCTCATCTGTGTTTAACAAACACAGAGAGATAAATGCCACGTCTACAGGTGAAGAGGGGGAGAACAAAATGTTACAGAAGGAGCGAAAAAGGGGTGAGGAGGAACTAGGGCGTGAGAGAGGAGAAAAAATGAAGCAAATAATATAGAAATAACTTTGAATTCTGTTGAAGAAAGGAGGAGAGGAGAGGAAGGAGAGGAAGGTGGGATAGAGTATATGAGACGCTCAATAACCCCTCCTTTCCCTTTACTCCTCCTCCCTTGTCCTCCTCTTCTCCTTATATCTCCCATCAGCTGGACTGTGGCTTCCAGGCAGAATGGAAAAATGCCACGTTGCACTGTGGTTCCCTCCCTTCCTCCCTCCCTCCCTCGTGTCCCTTCTTCTCCTTCTTCACCTCCAGCTGTTCTTCACATCAGCTCTGGTGGGAACAGACTGGTACAAATGTACGTCCCCATCCTCTCTCTTCCTCTCCCTTTCTCCCTCTTTGTGCCATAACCAAATCCGAAGTCTATCTTAAGTAGGGAAAAGATTTAGAGCTCTGCTGCGTCTGTCTGTCGACGGCAGGTGCTTTGGACGTGAATCATCAACAGTCTGTTCTGCTGCTGTGATGATGCTGTGAAATGTTCCACAGGAAAGTTGCTTCTAAACTCCCAACAGACAACTGGAGGTTTTTAATGACTGGAAACTGAGGCATCAGAGCTGACACACCTGCATTAAAGACCTCGAGAGACTACACACTCAATCAGCACGTTCGCAAACACACTGGAAATTTTGTACGTGTAGTTATCTATGCCAGAACGTTTCATGATAATGTTGTGCTAAATAGCAAAAAATAAACAAACAAACTTTGTAATTACTTGTTAAACAGCTAAACTTTCTGAAAAGCATGCTGGGGTAAAGGTTGCATCAGCCACGAAGCCACTGAGTTAAGCTTCCTCGGAGGGAAGCTAATCAGATTATAGCATTAAATGGCCAACTTTACTGGAGAAGTAGAACATGCCGAAATAAGAGTGGGTAGCAGCAAGAGAGGAGAAAAAGAAGTTGAAAGATTGAGAGAAAATATGTATATATGTATTATACGTGTATAATACATATATATGCAAATATACATATATTCACCTTTCAAATATATATATTTACCTTTTAAATACATTTTTAAATATATGTAAAAAACAGTTGCATTTTATTATATCATCGAGATAAAATGGAAAAAATTCCTTTTTTTCTTACATACAAAAACTATGACTAATAGGAGTAAAACCACATGTATGGAGTGAAACACCGGCCCATACTGTTTTTCCAGGTCTTCCTGTAGATCTCAGTGACTCAGCCATTTTGGTTGTTGAAGGAGTGAGCTGTGAAGACATTCTATCTCTCCACTTTCCTGGCTGCTGCAGTTTGACCTCTGACCCGACTGAGAAGTTGAAATAGATGTGTAAGAAACAGTGAGTGAGTGTGTGGTTCACAGAGTGAAGACAGTCCATTTCAGGAGCTTTTCACTACAAATAGAAGCTGCTGTCTGGAGTTGTAGCGAGTTGTCGTGCAACTAATTCACAGCTTATTCTTGGACAGAGCTTCACTAGCCTTGGCTTTACTTCGACCAGATGTGATTGGATATCACATGTGTTCGCCATGTTTTCAGTGAGTCTGGCTGCACTGTTTGTTTCCCTGCCATTTCATTTGATTTATCACTTCTTATCCAGGACTCGTTTTCCTTCCTGGACCAGGTCGAAAGACATCTTATCTTTGACTGGTAGATTAATGTGGCACCCCAGTCAGCACAGACTGATTTAGTCCTGGTCTGCCAAGTCAAGTTCTTACTGCACTTTTCTATCCTGGCTTGAACACAACCCTGAACTTCTGACTCCAGACATTTGATTTATCTTGTGACTTTTTAGACCTATTTTTAGACTTAACTGGCACTAATTTATTTGCAATTTAACAATAAGGACCGTATTTGGTTCATTTGCAAGTTTAAATCCTGCCTTGGAACTCAACATGTTGCCTTTTATGTAAATGAGGCGCAGGACTTTATGTGTGAATAAAAACACTTGAATTAGAACTTGGTAATTATCAACATTTTTAGACCTGATCCAGATCTGTTGTATTCATCACGCCTTGATCTGTTACTTTAAAGTTTTCAAAATTGGTCTGCAACTCACATTGTTACTTGATAGCAGACATATTTGTTAGACACAAAAGCACTGATTTCTTCATGCCTTTGTATTTTGAAGTTTAGCAGTAACGTAAATCACAGTGTCTGATCCTCAGAGTCAACACACTGTCAAATATAAATGTAAACAAAAAGGAACAAACAAGACTACTGGAAAGTTAACCGCTGTGACTTTGACAGCAGACACCAGCGGGAGCAGAGAGTTGAAGCTCCGCCTCTGAGAGCAGGAAGAGAGAGAAGGAGGTGTGGATAATGGGAGGTTTGGGCAAGGAGGAGGGGGGAGCCGTCCCACTGGAAATGTCTTCTGTGTGACGGGACTGGTCAGTCAGAACGTCCCAGGGTCTGCTCTCAGTTCTCATTTCTCTCCTGGTGTCTGACGTTAAAGGTAAGAGGTCTCACTCTGCACTAAACTTTAGAACTCCACTCTTTCTTGCCACTGTTTTTGGTTTGTTTTAGAGAAGTCGTGCAATATTTCATCCTATTGTTCTGATTTTTTGCTGTTCAGTTTGCAGAGCAAACAATGAAACTTTGCTTTGAACAAAAGATTATTGTTTTATGGTGAATCCCTCCTGTTATAGCAGCAAAACTATGTTTTATATTTGCCTGAACTTTTGTTGGTTTTTCTTTCTTTCTTTGGCACAAGTTTTTCTAAACTTTTTAGAGTTTTGTTCTTTTTTTTTTCTTTAAGCCTTTAAAATCCTAAACCCTGGTCAGTGCTATGTGAAAAAAAAGAAAGAAAAAAAGGAGAGACCAGGTGCAAACAGCAGCCTCAGTGTCTCCTCTGTCATTACTGCTAACAGCTGCAAGGAAAAATCACTGCCTGCAGGTAAACAAGCTGTGATTATGAGACTTGGGTTCATTCTCTGTGGGGGTATTGTACTGCCACATCGGCAGCAGGGGGAGTGGGAGGAGAGGAGGGGTGAGGCCGAGAGGGTGTAGGTGCCGCTTAACAACGCTTAAGAGGGAGGAACAGGGTGAGGAGAAGGAGAGAGAAAAATTAGACTCTGTCTAGTTTCTGCTTTTTTTTTGTTTTGTTTTGTTTGTTTGTTTCAGACAAAGGAACGAGTGTAAATAGTAAATACTTTGTTTGTTTCAGACAAAGGAACGAGTATAAATAGTAAATACTTTTGTTATTTTTAACATTTGTTCATTACTGGTTTAGTCTGTGACATATTGATAAAATCATGCAATGGCTTATAACTAACGGAGCAGGGCTAAGAAACAAGAGGATAAAACCACAGAAAACAACTTTTACATACATACTTTATACCAGATCAGTGAAGCAGCGCTGGAATTTGTTTTCCAATTTTTCTTAGAAAGACAAATGCTACATTTACTATACTGAAAAACAATTTTCCAGTTCATTTGTTGGTTTACTCACTTTTTAAACTATGTATTAGTAAATAATTATTTAACAAATAAAAAACAAAATTTTAATCATCAACCCATGATTACAAGATGAAGGTTGAAGAATCAAAATGAGGCAATAGAAACAAAAAGGGGGAAAAATGAAGAAATGAACTATGGGTAGATGGAATCTCAGCAATGGGTGTGTTTTATCCCATAAATCTGTCTCTTTTTTCCCCTCTCTCTCGATTATCCACTAGGTGACGGAATGTGAGTTGCCATGGTGACCAGTTAGCAGCTGTTTAAACTGTTGGTGTCAGACTCAGATTTACCTTTGAGTGTCACTGTAGTCACAGTAGTCACAAATGCCTTTATTGTCTTTGAAAGAAAATGAAACAATGTAAACACGGTGTATTTGATTAGGCTGCTACTTTTTAAAAAGAGCAATGGTAATAATACTAAAATGTAGAGTTAAATGTAAACACGGTGTATTTGATTAGGCTACTTTTTAAAAAGAGCGATGGTAATAATACTAAAATGCAGAGTTAAAAAAAAAGGAAAAACCTAAAGGAAAACACACAGCTAAAAACAAGTGCCACAAGTTGGAAAACTGTAGTAATTATTCCTCATATTTTAATGATTTTTGTTTTCATTTATTGCTCAGTTCTCAGTACTGTCACACAACCCTGAATACTGACTACAAAAGGCCTGTAAAAAAAACAGTAAAACATGGGGAGGATTTTTCTTCTTCTGAACCTACTTATAATGTACAGAAAGAAGAAAGAATATTATGCACCTTTTAGTCTTTGTGTAGTTGGTAAAGCTGATGCCACCCGACTTGAATAAACATGGTGACGTTGCTATATTGAAAAGATTAACACTGACAAGAATAAGTCACTTCACAGACAGTGACTGCCAAGAGTTAGTCATGAATTCAACTCAAGTTCACTCGGAACATCAGAAAACTTGTTACATTTCAGTCCTTAAACTTGTATAAAGAGATTTACAGGGATTTGTCATGTGACCGTTTTGGTTTACGTTACACAGATCGTGTTCTCCTTTGCTTGTTTGTGTTCTTTGTGCTCTGGGCTCCTGCCAGTCAGGGACGGCTGCTCCTCTCTGAAAACGTGTCTTTGTCTCCGACGGATTTCCTCTGTGCTAACGTCTCTGGACAGAAACACACTTTGTTGAAGTGTCTTGTTGCCAGATGAGGCCTAGGGGGCGGAGCTTGTGACTGATATTCAGGCAAGAAAAAAAAAGTGGTTTCACATTTCTGATGGTTGGAGATGAAAAAAGTGTATGAAAAATGAGTAGAAAATACAGCTCTCTTTTGTGTTCAGTCATTTCACTGAGGAAGTGGCCAGAGATTTCGCCCCCTCAGCTTCGATACCATTGGATGATGTCCTTCATGATTCAATGGTCAATTTTTCCTTTTTTAAATCTGTTACATCCAGATCTGTAACTTGCAGTCTCTCCACTGGACGTGACTAATTCTTAATAACTAAACTAACCAAATATTCGGCGTCAGGTTTTCTCTGAACATATTTACCTCTTTTCTCAGTTTTTCACGTCCACTGTTCTTTGTCTCACTTGTTTACTGGTAGACAGGCAATTCAGGTTGATTTTTTTTCCAGGTTTTTAAAACCCACCTGTTATGTCATTAAACAAACAACAAATAGAAAACTAAAGAAAGAACTATTCTAAATCTGTCAGACAGCAGCACAGGCACGGTCAGAGAAAGACGAGGGTGGAGGTAATTCTGTGTGAGCGTGAAGTTCCAGCGCTGGTTGTTTTGCTCCTGTAGTGGAGTTTACCTCCCAAATTAAACACATCAGAGGGGAAAAAGACTCCTTTATGAGCCTGAAGTTTCCCTTTTAGCCTTGGTGCTGTTTGATTATGAGAGCAGCTTTCCAAATAAAATATCTCTTCTGCGTTACATCAGTCGGTCTGTGCGTCCATCCGTCCTCTGACTCTCAGACCAGGTAAAAGCCTGTTAGCATGAGAACACCCTGTTCCTCCAAATCAAACACTGACCTGACGTTTTTTTGGAAACAGGTCTTTATGTTACACTTCTTTTTTCGTGATCACCCTCAGTCTGTGTGCCACTTATAACTGTAGTAAGGTCTCGTTTTACGAAAGTTCCCGTCAGTCGCCCTCAGCCCCCACCCCGTCCACCTCAGCTTTTTCAAAGCTACAGAGACGTTTCCTTGTCTCCGGGATTATGTGGAGTCGTCACTGGAGTGGTTTGTCTGACGGAGCTTCTGTAATTTTCCTGATCTCCTGCATTCTCTGGAGTTGAGATTCAAGTAGATTTGACCACCAACACATTTCATCCATTCATCTCCTGGACCACGCTTTTGGAATTCAATCAATGTTTGCCTCATATTCACTGCTGAGTAACCCCAAGCAGGTGTGCAGATTAGAAATGCCTTGAATATGGATTATCTGGTCAAAAACATACTAAATACTGATATACCGTGATTTCTATGGACTTTGGTGTGTCAAATTTGATAGTTGCCTAACTTTCCCTTGATTAGGCCTAGTAGACTTGGTAAGAAAGTCTTCAACTAGCTGACTTTTTAAATAAAATAAAAATTTGGAGCAAAGAAAACTTTCCCAAAAACTTTCCCCATCCAAAATATCCATATATAAGTGATGTGAAATCAACAGGTGAACAATTTCAGTTAACAACATTTCAACTGAAAGCTCGTTTGGCTCAAGGGTTCGTCAAACAGTGCACACTAATGCTAACAACCTGCACTTCTATGCAAACGTTGCCCTTTTCACTGCATGTGTCCAAACATGTCAGGCCTTTTCAGATGCTTCATTTCAAGAGGCCCGGTTGCATTTTTTAACGTCGGACAC